TCTCTTATGATCCTTTGGTATTTCTGTGGTATCAGTTGTAATGTCTCCTCTTTCATTTCTAATTTTATTTGTGTCTTCTCTCTTTTTTTGGTAGGTTTAGAAAAAAGTTTGTCTATTTTGTTTATATTTCCAAAAAGCCAGCTTTACTTTATTTAACTTTTGTATTTTCTTGTTGTTTCTATTTTATATTTGTTTTCTGATCTTTGTTACTTCCTTCCACCTATTAACTTTGGGCTTAGTTTGTTCTTCATTTTATAGTTTCTTGAGGTGTAAAGGTAAATTGCACATTTGTGATCTTTTTTCTTAATGTAGGCATTTATTACTATAAACTTCTCTCTTAAGACTGTTTTTACTGCATCCCATACATTTTGGTATGTTGCATTTATATTTTCATTTGTCTTTAGATATTTTTTAATTCCTTCTTGGACCCATTGGTTGTTCAATAGCATTTTTTTAATCTACACATATTTGTGAATTTTCTAGTTTTCGTCATAACTAATTTCTAGTTTCATACCATTTTGATTGGAAAAGATGCTTGATATGTTTTCAATCTTCTTAAATTTACTAAGACTTATTTGTAGCCTACTGTATGATCTATCCTGGAGTATGTTCCACGTGAATTTGAGAAGAATGTGTATTCTTCTGCTGATGGATGGAATTTTCTGTAAATATCTCTTAAATCCATTGGATCTAACATGTCGTTTAAGATTGATGTTTCCTTATTGATTTTCAGTCTGAATGGTCTATCTCCATTGTTGAAAGTGGAGTATTGAAGTCTCCTATTATTATTGTATTGCTGTCTATTTCTTCCTTCAGTTTTGTTTATTTTTGCTTAATACATTTAGGTGTTCCTATGTTGGATGCATAAATATATACAAATGCTATATCTTCTTGTTGTATTGACCTCTTTATCATTATGTGTGACTTTCTTTGTCTCTTCTTACAGTATTTGCCTTACAGTCTATTTTGTCTGATATGAGTATAGCTACCTTGTTCTCTTTTGGTTTTAATTTGCATGGAATCTTTTTCTATCCCTTCACTTTTAGTTTCTGTGTGTCCTTAAAACTGAAATGAGTCTCTTGTAGTCAGTGTATAGTTGGGTCTGTTTTTTCTTTTATCTTTTAGCCACTCTCTGTCCTTTGATTGGAGAATTTATTCCATTTACACTTAAAGCAATTATTGATATATATGCAATTCTTGTCATTTTGTTCATTGTTTTGTGCCTGTTTTTTGTTTCCTTTGTTCCTTTCTTCTTTTCTTACTCTCTTTCTTTGTGACTTGATGTTTTCCTATAGTGATATGTGTAGATTCCTTTTTCTTTTTCTTTTGTGTATCTAGTATACGTTTTTGCTTTGTGGTTACTATGAAAGTTACATAAAACATATTTATAACAATCTATTTTAAGTTGATAACAATTTAAAATTGAATGCATACTACAACTGTACATTTTTACTCTCCCTTCCTCTCATTTCATGTTTTTGATTTCACAACTTACATAGTTTTAACTTGTGAAATCACTAACAAATTACTTTATTTAAATTTATTTTTCAATACTTTTGTCTTTTAACCTTCATACCAGATTTATAAGTGATTTTCTCACCACCATTACAATATTTTAGTACTCTGAATTTAACTACAGTCGTGTCTCACTTAATGATGGTGATACCTTCTGATAAATGCATTGTTAGGTGATTTCATTGTTGTACAAACATCATAGAGTGTGCTTACACAAACCTAGATGATGTAATCTACTACACACCTGGGCTATATGGTACTAATCTTATAGGACCATTATTGTATATGTGGTCCACTGTTGACCAAAATGTCACTATGTGGCACAAGACTGTATATGTTTACTTTTACCAGAGAGATTTTATCTACAAACGTCTTTCTGTTACTAATTAGTATCCTTTTGTTTCAGCTTGAAGAGCTCCCTTTAAAATTTCTTGTAAGGCCAGTCTAGTGGTAATGAATTCCTATAGCTTTTACTTGTCTGGAAAACTTTGTATCTCTCCTTCAATTTTGAAGAACAGTTTTTCTGGGTAGAGCATTCTTCATTGGCAGTTTTTTCCTTTAAGCACTGTATGTATATCATGCCACTCCCTTCTAGCCTGCAAAGTTTCTGCTGAAAGAATCTGTTAGTAGTTTTATGGGGGTTCCCTTGTTAACAAATTATTTTTCTCTTGCTAATTTTAAGATTCTCTCCTTGTCTTTAACTTTTGACAATTTAATTATAATGTGTCAGTGAGGATTTCTTTGGATACGTCTTATTTGAAACCCTCTGGGCTTCCTGGATCTGGATGTCTGTTTTCTTCCCCAGGTTAGGGAAGTTTTCAGCCATTACTTCTTCAAATAAGTTTTCTGCCCCTTTCCTTCTCTCTCTTCTTATAGTGAGATCACATAATGTGAATATTAGTCTGCTTGATGTTGTCCTATAAGTCCCTTAAGCTATCTTCACTCTTTTTTGTTTTTTTTCTTTTTACTCCTTTGTTTGGATGAATTCCACTGTCTGGTCTTTGAGTTTGCTGATCCTTTCTTTTGCCTGCTGTTGAACCCTTCTGTTGAATTTTTCAGTGCAGTTATTATATTCTTCAGCTCTATGATTTCTGTTTGGTACTTTCTTGTATTTTCTATCCCTTTTTTAAAATTCTCACTTTGTTCATGCATTCTTCTCCTGACCTTGGTGAGCATGTTTATGACCATTATTTTGAACCCCTTATCAGGTAAATTACTTATCTCTATTTCAATAAGGTCTGTTTCTGGAGATTTATCTTGTTCTTTTGTTTGGAACATATTCCTCTCTTTCTTCATTTTCCTTGACTCTCTGTGTTAGTTTCCTGCATTAGATAAAACAGCCACCTCTCCCAGTATTGATGGAGTGGTCTTTTGTAGGAGATGAGCCTTATCATTCAGCCCAGCCTGACTTCTTGGTTGTCTCTTCAACCTTTGTGATTCTCTACTCTGCCTACTTTGTTCTTAGTGACTCCTATTATTGAGCATGTACTGAGACCCATCAGTGTACTAAAGGGGAGGATCTCAATCAGCACAAAGATGCAGGCTGATTGGAAGCCAAACCCCCAGACTGTAGCTTTCAGAGTATGCAAATAGATCTCTTCCAGGGAAAGAGCAGGAGATGGGCACTTCTGTCTGCTCCCTCTGTGCTGAGCCCTGAGGGGATAGCAACTTAAGAACCTTTTCTTTGTTTGTTACCGTCCTGTGAGACTCACAAACACAATCCTTGCTGGCCACCAGAGCCAAGGGATCAAGTGATGCATCCTCTGAGTGGCAGCTGCAAAAGCCAGGGCACCGGACATGTGCACAATCTCCTTCCAAGGAGACACCACCAACATAGAGCAGGCCCAAGGGAAAATGTGGACAGTGTCTGCCATCCTCTCTTGTCTCTAGGGAGGGTGGCAGTCAGCCCCTAGATGTGAGCTAAGTTAGAAGCCTGATACTCAGGAAGCAGCTTTTAAACTATGCAAACAGTCCCTTTTTAGGGAAGTACTAGGAGATGGGCATTTCTGTCTGCTGTTCCTATGCCGAGCTCTGGATGGATAGCCAAAGCATCCTTGTGAGCCTGTTAAGACCTATCTCTTTGTTCACTGTAGTCCAAAGGGTTCATGGACACAGGCTTCCTTGGCTTTCAGAGCTAGGTGTTTTGAGCGTCAGTGCCTCAGGTGGAACTGTTAGAAGTTGGGGCACTAGATGTTGGGTCCAAACCTTCACTTTGAGAGTTGTGAGCTCCCTTTCAATTGGATGTCACTGTGCTGGGGGTGGGGTTTATGGTGAGAGTATATCTCGATCTCTCCTACATGTTTTGATGTAGTTTTTGTTTGTTTGTTTGTTTGTTTGTTTGCCCAGCGCATAGGAGTTGATCAGCTAGTTTCTGGGTTTCCTTAAGAGGAAATTGCTTTGTTTTGTGCCAAGGAAGACTAGCCCTGAGCTAACACCTGTGCCAATCTTCCTCTATTTTCTATGTGGGTCACCACCACAGCATGGCTAGCGAGTAGTGTAGGTCGGCATCAGGGATCTGTTTTTGTGAACCCAGGCTGCCAAAGCAGGTCATGCTCAACTTAACCATTGCACCACAGGGCCAGCCCTGCTCCTTGTGTTTTTGTGTCTGTGGGAGGAGGTGAGTTAAGGAGCATCCTATATCACCATCTTGTACAAGAACTGTCAATTCTCAACTCTTTTGGGTAAATATTAAGGAGCACAACTACTGGATTATGTTGTAAGTATATTTTTAGTTTTGTAAGAAAGCACAAACTGTCTTCCAAATTGGCTGTGCCATTCTTCATTCCCACCATCAGAGCATGAGTGTTCCTATTGCTCCACGTCCTTGCCAGATTTTGGTGTTTTGTTGTGCCCTTTCGTATGGTGTGGCTTTATTTTCTTTTAAAAATAATGTACATATGTTGTTTTTAAGTTTAGGCAACATGGTTTAAAATTTTAAAGAACATGAATTGAAAATACCCATTCCTTCAGATTCAATTATTTTTTTGCATAATATGTTATAAAGCTTAGGGGTAGAGGCCGTTTGAGATTTCTGTTTTTCTAAAGCATCAAGCTGTCATGTTCTATTCGGGAATATTGAGGGTAGTTTATATTTTAAAAAAATAAACCTGAATCTTCACTCACTAGGCGATTCTCCTTCTTTTAAATATTTTAAGGACTGGCTTTGGGGTTATACACTCTCAACAACTTGGACAAATATAATTCTATAACTAGAAAAGTTTTCTGCACATTTCTTAGGTAATCACTAAGTAATTTTTACTAACTAGACAAAATGTGCTTAAACTAGGTCTAAACAAGCATGTATTCTTGGTTCTTATAAACTAAGCACTAAAGATTATGAAATATGTAATCAACTAACACAACAGGAAATGCCACTGGCTATAAAATACAAATCATAGGCAATAATGTTTTAATAAGTACATGACACTTACTATTAAATATTTATCTATAATATAAAACGCATGAATAATATTAGGGTGACATACCTTTGCTATCACTTTTCTCTAACTCTTTCAGTGCTTGAACAAACGTCAGTTGACTTTCAGTGAGAGGCCAGCTGTTATATAACACCAAACACTGTATGATGTACTTGTAAACCTGGGAAATAAAAAGCAATGTTTAAGCACAAACAATAAGAATAACCACAGTATGCACCTAATAATTTATTACTTTAGGCACGTAATAAGTGCATATTTCTGTGGATCATACAATCATAATTTAATTTAAAACTGCCAGATGGTCTCCAAAATTCTGTAACATAACCATCTATAAAAGTTTATCCTCACATCCCCACCAACACCTGCCACTATATAGCCCAGTAATTACAATTTTTGCATCCATGTTTATAAATTAAATTTATTTATTTAACTTTTGTTACTCTTCAGTTTGAAATCAGAATTACATTAATCTCTTCAAAAGGATTGGGAAGTTTGTATTGTTTTCCTGTTTTTCAGAACAATGTGTTTCTTGACAGTCTGTTAGATCTATCCCGTAGAACCAGCTGGGCCTATGGCTTTTTGGAAAGGTAAGACTTTGGTGATCATTTAAGTTTTCTTATTCTTTATTATTTCATATTTTCTATTTTCTAGTGAAGCAGCTTTTCCTCCCCTTACCGCAAGAACTTAGCATGTCTTTTTTCTGAGTTCGACATTTGCTAGCATAGAGTTGTGTATAATACTTTAAGTTTAGTTTTTAAAAACCTGTTATTTGGAGTTATACCTTCCACCTAATTTTTTGTTCTGTGTTTGACTTATTTATATTTTCTTTCTCTTTTATTTCTTGATTGATCTGAAAAGAAGCATGTCTACTTTATTAATCTTGAAAGAGCTGAGAGTATTGATCTTCCCAAGTTTTGTTCCCCATTTCATTAATTTCCACCTTCATTTCATTAAAAGTTTTTGTTCTTTTTTCTTTGAGTGATTATTTTGCTTTTTTTCTAACTTTTTGTTTCAGTAGTTTAGCTCATTCGTTTCTACTCATCCGTGCTTTCTGATAAATTAATTTAAAAGTCAACATTCCACTGAATGCTACTTTAGATGTGGCCTACAAATGTTGACTTGTAGGTTTTATGGTTATTGAGTACTTTGTATTTCATAGTTTCTCTTTTGATGTTCTCTTTAAAGGATTATTTGGTATGTTTTGCTTTGTTTGCACATTTATGAGATTTTAGTCTGTTAGTTATTAATTTTTATATGATTGCATTATTTTCACATAACGTCTATACAATATAGTTTGGTTTTTATTGAGGCTTCCTGTGTGTGCTATGAAAAAGTGTATTCTCTGTTTATTAGGTGAAATGTTCTATATGTATATTTAAAGGATTAAGCTTATACCTAAGTTTTTCAAATTCTAGTGAGCACACATATTTTGTTTTTCAGCTTGATCTATCAGTTTCTGAGAGGTATGTGCTAAAATCTTCAAGTATTTGTTGTTAACATTTCTTTTTCTCTGTAGTTCTGATAGTTTTTGCTTTTTACTTATTAAGTCTGGGAAATTCGGTTCCTCTATGTTAGTTAAGATCATATGTCCTTGTTTTATTTTAGGCTACTTATAGTTGTATTTTATTTTTTATCTAACTTTAAAACTTTATCCTTTTAACTGATTAATAATCCATTTGTATTTATTGTAATTACTGTCATTTAGGACTCATTTCTGGCATTTTATTTTCATTTCTTTTTATTTATGTGTTTATTCTTTTTGGTTTCCAATGGATAGGTCATATTTTCTTCTGCTGCTTTGAATTTTATGCGTTGTCTTTTATTTCTTTAAGTTAAGGCACAGACAAATTAGTTTTTATTAATGAGACATTTTCCAAAGTTATACAGCCTCTTATAATTCATGTAACATAAGATAATTACATATACATTATAGGGTTAGTGTATAGATAAAATTGCCACATATTTAAAACCTTGGCATAGAGGAATGTTCGATAATGTCTAATCCTTCAATTCTGGTTATACACTGGGGCATTGTATATAGAAAGTATTATACAGTGACAATTTTTACGAAGAGAAATGTAATTTATGTTAGATTTTTAGGAGCAGTACCATTGAATAATTCTTTGAAGTATAAATATACCTGCTGTGGCGTACTAGCATTTTCTTCCACAGTGGGCAAACTGACAGATTCCTCGTCCAAAATAGGCTGGCCACTGTCCACCACTGCACTTCCAGGTTTGCCCTTATAGGACTTCTGACTTCCTGGGGCAGATTTCTTCTTAGCTAACAATTCTTGCTCTTTCTTGGGTGAAGCATGGGTTAAAAGAACTTGCTTGCTAGCTGAATAGGAGAAATATTACATTTAAGTTAAAATATATGAAAGGTGTAGTTATTACTAATTGTGTTATTTAGTTATATCCTTTTATAAAATGCTCAAAGGAACAGGTCAATTTGTTTCATTTTAATGAGATAAAAACCAACATCATTGGTTTCTTGGAAATGTTCTGGTCTTAAAGAAACTTACTATGATAGTATGTGACTTGCATAGAGCAATGTAAATTCTGAACAAACACTGATTGCTAAAAAAATATATAATACTTCCAGAATTTCTCATTCATTCTATGTCAACTGAATGACACTAAACTAATACCATACACTCTGATTTCTTCAGTGTTTAATACTATGTATTTGTAAGTTGTGACACTCATAAAAGACTTTCATTTTAATTTCTACATTCATTATTTTGTAATTAATGGATAATATAAGTACCATTGGGAGGGATAAAAATAGAAATGTGCTGAACTGGGGCTGGCCTGGTGGTATAGTGGTGAAGTTCACGTACTCTGCCTCGGCAGCCCAAGGTTTGCAGATTCAGATCCTGGGTGTGTACCTACACACTGTTCATCAAGCCATGCTGTAGTGGTGGTCCACATACAAAATAGAGGAAGACTGGCACAGATGTTAGTCCAGTGACAATCTTCCTCAAGCAAAAAGAGGAAGATTGGCAATGGATGTTAGCTCAGGGCCAATCTTTCTCACCAAAAAAAAGAAAAGAAAAAAAATAGAAATGTCCTGAATATTATTAATTAATCAAACATGTATTGAGGGAATTCAAGTGAATGGCACAGAGAAATTCCAATGCTAGACATGACAGAATAATGGGCATTGGACTTATTCTCACACCATAAAAAATGATAATTGCAAAATGTATAAAGTAACTGTTTTAAGCCGTTGGACAATAGACAGCCCAGGACTGTTATCCTTGATAGAAGAAAAACATACAAGATGATCTCTCCACTTCCCCAGATTTCTGCCTGTGAGCACCTTCTCAACTGTGGCACAGGGAGTCCAAACAGTGATAGCAGTTTTTCCAGGTTCAGGAAGCTAAAGATTGGCATTTGGGGCTCCTGAGACAACTAAAATTTGTAAAGCAGGGTACGAGAGAAGAGGCATCAAAATATGCATAAGGGTCCACTTTCGTCTTTAGCTGAATTCTAAACTTCATTTGTACAAACACCTAACAATTTCTGGCAGACAACAACTACTCTGAGATCATGAGCGTAATGGAGATTCTGAAGGTTGCTCAATGTTGACAGACATTGGAGCTCTGTCAAATGAAGGAAATTTAATGAACATACAGGGCATTCAGTTGAGACTCAAGAAAGGCTATTCTTTAAGAGTAAATCTACCTTAACCCTGGAGTAATGGAAACTCTCGACTTAGGAGTTAGAACCAAGTCTTGATATGATTAAGCTAAGCTGTCAATAAACTTCTTGCCAGAATGAAATCAACATTCTTTCAATGAACAGAGTATAGTCTTAGCAATGTATCATGTGCAATGTACAGCACACAGTCAGCTTGATATAAGAAGAAGCAGGGAACATGACCATGAGTTGAGAAAAAAAAGTCAATAGAAATAACCACATAGCTGACATAATGTTGGACTTAGCAAATAAGGACCTTAAAATAACCAATAAAAATGTGTTTAAGGATGTAAGGGAAAAGGTCAACATAATGAAAGAAAAAATGGTGAATATCAACAGAAAAATTAAATATATAAAGAATCAAAACAAAATTCTAAATATGAATATATCTGAAACAAGACATTCCTGGATGGACTTAGAAAGCACATTGTCAAATTCAGAGGAAAAGATTAATAAACTTGAAGATAAGCAATAGAAATTACCTACACAGAAGCAGAGAGTGAAGAAAAAATATTGAACAGCAGCTGAGTGCCCCACGGTATAATATTGTAGTGGGTGAAATAGTGACCCCCTAAAAGAGATATGTCCACCCAGAACCTCAGAATGTGACCTTATTTGACATAAGGATGTTTGCAGCTATAACAAAAGGATCCCAAGATGAGATCAATCTAGATTAGCATTGGCTCTAAATCCAATGATAGGTGTCCCTACAAGAGACAGAAAAGGAGAAGACACAGAGATGCACAGAAAGAAGACGCCATGTGAAGACAGAGGCTGAGATTGGCAGAGTTATGCTGTCACACGCCAAGGAATGCCAGGAGCCACCAAAAGCTAGAAGAGACAAGGAACGACTCTCTTGCAGAGACTTCAATGGGAGTGTGGCCCTGACAACACCTTGATTTTGGACTTCTGCTTTCCAGAACCATGAGAGAATAAAGTTTTGTTCTTTTAAGCTACACAGTTTGTGGTAATTTGTTACAGCAGCCCTAGGAAATTAATACAGATATCAAGTCATCTGATATATGTGTATTCTTAGTCCTAGATGGAGCTCCTATAAAAATAAAATACTTTGGTATAAATTTAATAAAGTATGTGTAAAATCTGTCCATTGAAAGTATAAAACATTGCTGAGAGAAATTGAAGTTTAAAATAAATTGAAAGATACACTGTGTTCACAGACCAGGAAACTCAATTTTGTTAAGATGCCAATGCTCCCCAAATTCAACACAATCCCAACCAAAATCTAAAGCTAAAATTTTCAAGAAAATGTGGTGTTGGACTAGGATTAGATATTTAGATCAATTGATCAAAATGCACTTCCAAAATAGACTCATACACACATAGTCAATTGATTTTTGACAAAAGTTCTAAGGTAATTCAGTGTAGAAAATATCAGCTTTTGAATTTATAGTGCCAGAACAACTGGACATCCATATGGGAAGAAGAAGAAACTTGACCTCCTACATTACATCATACACAAGAATTAATGCAAGATGGGTCATAAACTAAACATAGATGCTAAGATTATAAAACTTTTAGAATAAAGCATGAGATGAAATATCTATGACCTTAGATTAGGAAAAGATTTCTTAGATAAGTACATAAGTACATAAACTGTACTAGTAATTTATTTTTAATGACAACTTTGACTTCTTCAAAATTAAAAGTTTCTACTCTTCAAAAGTTGTTAAGGAAGTGAAAAGGCAAGTCTTAGACTACGACATCATATGTGAAAATTATATATTTGATAAAGGACTTGTACTCAGAATATATAAAGAACAAAGACAACCCATCAAAGACATGGCTGTAATGTGCAAATGGACACTTCATCCAATAAGTTATACAGATGGCCAAGAAGCACACATAAAGAGCTCAGCATCACTGGTTAGCCAATTTAAACCACAAAGAAATATAACTATCTACTCACCAGAATGACTAAAATCAAAAACATTGACAACAATACATGTTGGCAAAAATATGGAGAAACCAGAAATCTCATACTTTGCTGGTGGGAGTCTAAAATGATACAGTCCCTTTGATAAACTTTTTGGCAATTAAAAAAATATATATATACCTATGTCAAACCATGTCACATTAATTCAACTCCTGAGTATTTATGCAAGAGAAATGAAACATTAAGTTTCAAAACAAAGACTTACACAACTATGTCCTTGGCAGCATTAGTTACCATATCCTAAAACTGGAATAAACTCATATGTCCAAAAGAAGAATGGATAAACAAAGTCCAAAGGAATGGAGTAGCAACAACATGGATGTATCTTAAAAACATTATGCTGAACAAAAAATACCAGTGCCAGGAGTATTAACATGCTTCCAGTTCCACAAAGTTCTATTACAAGCAAAACTACTCTTTTCTTTTTTTTGAGGAAGATTAGCCCTGAGCTAACATCTGTGTCTATCTTCCTCTATTTTTTTTTTTTATATGTGGGACACCTGCCAGCAGTGCCCAGGCCTGTGTCTGGGATCTGGACCTGCAACCCTGGGCCACTCAACCGGAGCGCGTGAACTTCACCACTCTGCCACCAGGCGGCCCCAAAACTACTCTCTTTTGACAGCAATGTGAACAGTGGTTGTCCCTTCAGCAGGTGGGGAATTGAATGGAAATGGCCTTAGGGATCTTTCTGGGTAATTGAAATGTTCTATATTTTGTTAGGGGTGTGGCTCACACTAGTGTATGCACTTACCCAAACTCATCAACTTAGATTTGTGCTTTTCGTTGTTTATAAATTATACTCCAATAAAAAATTTAAAGATAATGACACAGTGTCCCTATCCTTGTGAAGTACCTCCTTCAGTCATTCATTCACAACCCCTTCTTTACCAAAAATGTGTGAAACATACACAAAAAAAGGAAAATTTTCCTTAATATAAGAGAGTCTACAAAACAATTAGAAAAAAATAGCTAATTCCGATAGAAAAATGAGCAAACCACACAAAAACATTTACAAAGCAGGAAATATAAAAGGAAGATATATAAAATGTATGAAAACATGCTTAAACCTCACTAACAATAAGTGAAATACAAGTAAGAGTTTTAGCATTCAGATTGACAAAAGTCAAGAAATATGATAACTCAACTGTCATTCAGGGGAGTATGGACAAATTTGCACAAACTCAATGAAGGGCAATTTGGCAGTACACACCAAAATTAAAATTGCATGTACCTATGACCCAGTAGCTCCACTTCTAAGCATTTACCCAATATATATGCACATACAAGTTCAGAAAAACAAATTTTTTAAGGAAAAATACAGCACTGTTTGTATAAACAAAATAGAATTATCACAAATCACTATCAGTGGGAGACTAGTTACACTAATTATGCTACATTATTAACAAAATTGAGCCATGTACAGCCATATGAAATAAAATGTTTTACCATTCTTAGTCCATACTAGTTCCTCAAACACCCAACTGCTTAGATCATAAATTTTGTGAAAATTGCAGATTTTATGTTAAATCTACAGCATGAGTACTGGTATAAAATTTTATTTCTGAAAATTACATGAGATATACAGGCATTCTTTAAAACTACTGTGAGATAATACAAAACCTAAAAAAGCTTCCATTTTACGATTTTTTTGCTGGTTCGCTTCAGAGCCTTCCACATCTTTGCAATGGAGTTTATTTCCCCTCTGGTGTCATAGAATGTTTGCCTACAGAATACATACGATAGTCTCCCATATCCTGTTCCATTACAAATATAAGACACACACAAGCACACACACACATCCACATATTTCTTTTTGCATGTACTTTTGGTAGGGATACTCCAGAAATACACATAGTAGAGAATTCATAAATAGATATGTTTCCAAGAGAAGCAACCGAAAAGTGTTTAGAAAGAAAAAGGAATTTCAATGTCTGCTTATATAATTCATAAACACAAATTAATAGCATCCCTTTAAATATGATATCCTGTCTTAAACCTAAATAAAGAAAATATCCAATGCACAATAACAGCTCTATCAATCTCTATGGAGAAATTTTTACATCTTTTCTATGAAACATACAGTCATGAATAAATGGAAAGAAATAGCCTTTACTTGTATGTAAATTCAATACTGTAAATGTGTCGGTTCTCTTTAAATTAATTGATCTATACATTCGAGGTAATCAGAAGGAAAACAATGACAGAGTTTTGCACGGTTTGAGGGGAATTTGAAAAAATTGTATTAAAGTTTATCTAGAAATATAGATATGAAACTCATAAAATGCTTTTAAATGTTTATGCATAATTCTCTTGTAAATGGTAATTTTGAAGTGAAATAATGAACTGTATGACAAACTAGAAAGAGTGTATATTTCTACAAATTTAAATGAACAGATTTGGAGAGAAATGTGGGTGGAACTAGCTATTTAGGGAAAAACATGAGGTCGTAAATAGCACAGGAGAGTTGCATTTGGTGCCTGCTAGGGTTTAGAATTAAGATATTCCTGCACTAAAGAAACTATGAAACCCATATAGAATGGAACAGAGAAAAGAAAACAAGTCCATCTTGAAGAGAAAGAGTGATCATCAGACTAGCAAAGCTTAGTACTCTCATGGTCTTAACATAGCTGAAGAAAACTCTCTAAGTGGCTTGCAGGTAAATTTGAATGAAAGACCACAAAGTAGTAATGTGAACTGAGTACTGAAAATGACCCAGGGGGTATTCAGGGGTGAAAGGCAAATGATGGGAGAAAAGAGACATGATCAAAAGAACTGCTTAATTAGCAATTTTGCCCAAGCTCAGCCTTTCTGGTATCATATAATGCATTCCCACCTCCCTGTGTCTAACACACTACATTTGCGCCCTAATTGTGCCTTCACAGTGTGGTGTCTACTCAATTCTCTGCTCCTCCAGATTCTTATTCATATTGGAAGAGTCTATCCCTGAGCTACAATGACAACTCACACATTGTTTCCAGGGTTAGTAGGAGAGGATAAAAAAGAAACATATGAATAGAACATAGGTAAAAAGACTTCTTTTTAGTAATTTGCTTATACACTTAAGATAATCAACATAAACAGCATTGGGAATAACGAGAGTTCAGACGGGTGCTAAAGTTATACAAAGGTCAACCAGAAGATATAATCAATTACAAAAATGAACCACGATGGCAGAATTCACAGAAAGCATGTTTATCAAAATAAATGTAAATGTATTACGTTACTCCATTTTACAAACTAGAATCTTGGATTAAGTAGAAAAAAATACCCATTTGTAAGAGAAAGATTGAAAAATTAAATGGATCAACAAAATCTACAGGCAAGCGATAACAGAAGAATCAGTGTTAACATCAGACAACCTACAAAAGTTGAAGAAAGACTGCTTTATATTCATTTAAAAAATACAACACATCAAAAATTATGAAGCAAATGTGGAACTTCATGCAACGAGCAAGTAGCATAGGAATACGTAAAACTAAAAATATTAGAGATAAATATTTACACACTTTACAATGAAAGTAGGCGATAACATATGTTTCTCAGAAACTTACATATCAATAAGATAAAACATAAATGACAAATCTTGAAATTTTTCTTTTTTATATGCTTTCTTTTCTTTTGAGGAAGATTAGCCCTGAGTTAACATCTGCTGCCAATCCTCCTCTTTTTGCTGAGGAAGATTGGCCCTGAGGTAACATCCGTGCCCATCTTCCTCTGTTTTATATGTGGGACACCTGCCACAGCATGGCTTGATAGGCAGTGTGTAGGTCTGCACCTGGGATCCAAACCGGCAAACCCCCGGCTGCTGAAGCAGTGTGCGAAAAGTTAACCACTACACCACCTGGGTGGCCCCTTGAAATTTTTAAACATCGCAAGTAGCAAGTTTTCCTTTTAGTAGAAAGAGTGGGCGTATATTTAGACATCAAACTATTTACCTCCAAAACAGAGCATAACTTCATAAACCTCAGTGTAACACTCATCAAAACTGATTTGAAGCAGGCCACAGGAGAAACATCAATCAAATCCTCAAAATAGAAAATATATAAGCCACTCTCTCTAACTCCACAAAATTTAATCAGATATTGATAACAAAAGATTAACCAAAACAATTTTATTATTTGGAAATTGTAAAAATATTATAAACATTTAAACCTAAAGAGAAAACCAAAATTAAATTATAGACCATGCCAACTACAACAACATTACATATAAAATTTTGTAGCTTGCTATAAAATATAACATAATACATATAGCTATACTTAGGAAAATGTACATCGTTTAATTTGTTGACTTAAACCCAAGACTTAAAACACCAACTAAACTTTCAACTGGTGGAGCTGGCAAAAAAAAAAAAAAAAAAATTAGACTAAATTTAAAAAGTAGAGGGTAAATTTTAAATGAAAAACATGAATATCGATAAATTAGATTACAAAAATAAAAAGCCGTTACACTTGATTAATGAATCCAACAGTTCATTGTAAGAAAAAAACAAGGAGACCTCTGAAAAGTCTAATCAGGAATACATGTTTTAAAACACAAATAAATAGTAATATTTAAAAAATGATTATAGAAACATGTTCAGAAGAGATTTCAAAACTATAAAAGAATCTTATAGACAAATGCATGCAGATACCTTTGAAATACTAGATGAACTGTTACTTTTAAATAAAAATACATATTGTAAAAATGAAAGATAGAAAGTTTGGAAATTATTAAAAAGGAATTAAAAACAGGGAAAAATTTATCCCCTGAAAACATCAGAATTAGATAGTTTTGAGGTCCAATCTGATAAACTTTACAAAAAAACAAATTACTCTTGTAGTATTTAAATGGCTTCCCAAATCAGAAAGTTTCCAAAGTAATTTCAAGAATTTGTCATAATTCTAACTTGAGAACCTGGTAAGTGTAGCGCATGGAAAAAAACACATAGAGATGTACAGTTATTAATATGATCCAGCAAACTACATAAAACAGTATATTCTAAACATAGGGGTGTATTAAAACATCATAGACAGAGAGGTTTTATTCCAAGAATGGTACAAAATTAAAATTTAATTTATGAAATTCAAAGGGGGTAAAATTTGATGATTTCTATAAACAACAAAAAGATAATAAAGTTCCAACCCATTTAATATGAAAATTCTTAGCTTTCAGTAGAAAGAACATCCTTAAGTTTTATAAAGGGCAATTATTAGAAGTCAACAATAAACACGATACTTCCTGGTAAATGCATAATCTTTACTATTGAAGAAAAGGAAATGTATCATCATCTCTCTTATTTAATGTGGGTTTGGAGGTCCCAACCAGTGCCACAAATAAGACAAAAGTTATAGTTTTAAGAAGAAATACCAATTGTCAAGTAGATGAAATCCCAGTTTTGTGTAAAATGTAATTCCAAAAATGGAAATGGAGGCACAAAAGCTAAAATTAACTATTTTTTTCTGGGTAGCATGATTACAAGGGATTTCTTGCTCTCTTGTTTATAATTTTTTATGTTTTCAAACTTCCTACCTTGGCCAAGTATTATTTTTTTTATTGTGAGGAAGATTGGCCCTCAGCTAACATCTGCACCAGTCTTCCTCTGTTTTATGTGGGATGCCCCCACAGCATGGCTTGACGAGTAGTGCTAGGTTCATGCCTAGGATCCCAGCCTGTGAACCCGGTCCCACCAAAGCAGAGCACGTGACACCACTGGGCTGGCCCCACAAGAGTTATTTTTATACTCAGAAACAAGTTACTAAAGAAATTGAAAGTATATCTCACAGTATCACTGTTATCCATTATTTTGGAAATATTTTTATTTTATTAATTAGCGACTTGTGACTGTTAACATTGAAAATAATAACTTTAAAGTTCCTGTTAATTTGCTAAGTAGAATGTTTTCTAAACATAATGGATGGGGAATAAAAGAAAAGTAAAAAATTCTTTCAAATTAATAAAAATGCTATCTCATTCAGAAATCTGAGAAGGTTCATGTAACGACAAAGTCTTTAAAGTACGATTATAATAAATCTATTGAATTTCAGACTGATTTGACACACAAATGCAATAGTTTTTAAAATATTTTACTATACTATCAAGTTTTAAAGATTTAAATGTTACTTGCTGTTTTATTTTAAGGAAAACGTTTCTAAAATCAGTTACATAAACATAAATACCTATTTATGAATGTATATAACCCATTTAAAAAGATAGACTTACACTGGGAGCTCACAGTTTTTTCATTTCCCAAGATGTTAATTGCTGGGATTAAGGCTTGGCCTTTCCCGGTGGAGCTCACTATAGTTTCTTCATTTTCTAGAATCTGTAGCTTGATGAATGCATCTGGTTTGGAGGTACGTACGTGTACTGTAACAGGATGTGGTAAAGCAACTTTAACCGAATACCTATAAAAAAAAACCATTCAGCTTTATAAGGAACGTAAAGGAAACTGTGTAATTTGCTGATATAATTTATAAGTAAAACCACTTTATGAAGTCAACTAAAATCCTGGAAATATCTGTGCTGTTATAGACTTTAGCCAAAGATCCCAATATGCTATGGTAGAGTGAAATAAGTAAAGTACGTTTATTACCATCAACTCCCAAACAGGAAACACAACTTTTTGTTTCGATATAAGCCCTCACTTATGAAACTTGATACATCTGCAAACTACTCTCACACCAAACTTTTCCATTGCCCCTTCCTCTACAGTTGGACAAGGCATGACTGGCAGAGGCAGGACCTTTCTAAGCCTCACTGCTAACAATACTTTCTTTGATTTACAAAAACACAGAGAAATCAAAGGTAGTACCTTTCCCTGTGCTTTCACCCTTTACCATACAAGTTGGGAAACTCTTGCCAAAAGACTGGAATCATGCGGTCTAACTCCATCCCATCTCCTCCCTTAATGCATTCAAAGAGGTGGTGTTGGAGTTTTTTTTTCCTATTTTAGGTGAATCCTTGCAAATGCTCAGGATCCTATCGACTTTCAACTTCTCTAGAGATTTGCTTTTCTGAGTATCCTCTCTCCTGTATCTTAAATCTTCCTCTCCATTCCTCCTTGTCATTGGTTTTTGTACAAATGCAGGTCTCACTCATCTTAAAAACAGATCAAAACAAAAAAAAACAAAAAATCTTGAATCAACTTTGTAGTCCAGACTCGGCTCTATTTCACGCCTCCCCAGCTCCCCATCTAAGGAGAGTTGTCGACTCCCACTATCTTCATCTCATCACCTTCCACTGGCTCACAGCGCTCCACTCTACCCCCACCCAAGATGCTAAACTTACTCTTGCCAAGGTTTCAAGCAGTTTGTCACCACCCTACAGAAACTTCAGTTCTCATCTTCCTTGACTCGTCAGGAGAATTTCACAGGGTTGGATCAACCTTCATTTCCTAATTCTTTAAAAACTCTTCCCCTATGAGCTTAGCAACTTTTGTACCTCCTATTTTGCGTTTTTTCTTTTAGACTTCTCTCCCATTGACATTCCCATAAATGTCAGAGCATCTTAACATTCTGTCCGGGATCTGAGTCTCACTGCACAAACTTTCCTGGGCACTTCCACAGGCAGAAACAACAATGATCCTCAAATCTGTGTCTCCAGCCCAACTCCATTTGCAGTGTCACTTGGACATTTCACTGGCCTACCATATTGAATGTCTAAAAATGAATTGTCTTCCTATTGCCCAACCTACCAACGGGATCGTCTCTGTGACCTCTAACCTGGTAAAGGATACTTACAGTCCAAGACTTCCAAAGTCAAACCCCAGGAGCCCCAATCAAGCCAGGCTGTCAAGTTTACTTCCCCCACGTCTTAAAGTCCTTTCTCTTCTCTCTAGATCCACTGCCACCGTGGTTATGGGTTAAATTGCGTCCTCCTCAGAAAGCTATGTTAGAGTCCTGAATCCCCGGGTCCTTGCAATGTCACTTTTTTGGATACGAGGTCTTTCAAAGGGAATCAAGTTAAAATGAGGTCATTACGGTGGGCTCTAATCCAATCTAACTGGTGCCCTATAAGAAGGGGAAATTTGGAAACAGACGCAGAGAAGATGCCATGTGAAGATGAAGGCGGAGATCAGGATATAAAGAATGCCCAAGATGACCAGCAACCCACCAGAGATAGGAGAAGGGCCTGGAACACATTCTCCCTCACAGCCCTCAGTAGGAACTGACCCTGCTGACACCTTGACCTCCGACTTCCAGCATCCAGACCTGTGAGACAATCAGTGTCCGTGGTTTAAGCCACCTACTGTCCCAGTTCGTGGGACTTTGCTATGGGACCCCTGGCGATCCAACACGCTGACTGACTTCAGGTGGCCACTATCACACCCCTGCACTGTTTCAAAGCTTCCCGTCTCCAGTTACACTCTCCTCCATCCATTCAATACACTGCAGTCTTCTGAATGAGCTTTTTCGTTTTTTCATATTCCATAGCTTTTACGATTTAATATAATTTCACAATAATACGGTTCCAACATTTTTTCTGTTCTTAGAAATTATATTTAAAATATTTCTTTCAGTTTACGGTTTAGAAACATAATGTTTTGACACAAGTCTATTAACGCCATTTTTTAAAAAATCCTTCAAAGCATCTCGCTGCCTCTAAGGTAAAGTCTAAGTGGCCTGTCTTATGAGGCCCTCAGGAGAGGGCTCTGCGGACCTCTCTGGCCTTACCCCCTGCCAGAGCACCCTACAACCCCACCTTGCAAACAAAACAAATGTCTTTAGTTTCCTGGAAATGCCACATCCTCTTTAATTTCTGAGTGTTCACATAGGCTAGTCAAGCACCTCCTCCTCACCTGCCCCCGTCTCAGCCTGACAGCTTTAGCTTCTAGGACTAATTTAGGTGTTAGGCTAAATGTCGCTTCTTAGTCTATTAGTTTCCCTGCTAGGTGGTATAATGGTTTCCTACCATAGCAATTAAAATATTTCATCACAATTGTTATTTTTGGTTACTGATATGTTTCCTTCCTTCTTTCTTGCTTTCTTCCTAATAGGCAATAAGCAAATATATTAAAAGAAGCAGGCAGATTAAAAAGGGAATCCTTCACCCCTTCTATGGCCCTCAGTGTATGTGTTTTCTTGCAGTATTTTCTCTAAATTTTTACCTACATATAAAATATATAAACAAATATAAATGTAAGAAAATATACTTGGGATATACTGTATATATTGTTCTGTAATTTAATTTTATTGCTGATTATTTTTCATTACAAAAACATACATATGTTTTTTAAAGGGAAAAATGTTTAAAAGTATGAATAAATAAGATTCACAGGGAAAAATCAGCCAGAATACAATAAATTATTATTTGTTTATATATTGTCAAAAAAACTTAGATTTTCCTTTTAAAATTCAATTTACCAATACGTTCGGAATCTTTAAAACATACGATTTCTTTAATAGAATAAATCTTTAGACAATAATCAGGAATTTACTTTACTGTTTACAGTCAAATATACCCATAACATATATATTAATTCTATAGAAAAAGTAGAAATGGAAATTTGTATCAATAGGGAATAACCAATAACCAAGTAAATTGTTATATATCTGTATGAATCATTACTAGGAAATCATGAAAAGAGTTCATAAAATGTCTTAATGTCATTGGGAAATGCTTAAACTATAGTGTTAAGTAAAAAGGACAGGTTACAAAACTTTAATTATAATTTTAATAATGTTAAGCTGTAACTAGGAAAAACACTATAAGAAAATACAATAGAATACTAATAATGATTGCTTCTAGGTTTTTTGATTATGCGTGACTTTCACTTCCCTGATAATATATTTATACATTTTACCAATTTTCTGTGAGAACAATATATATTAAAAAAAGATGATAAGTATTTTAACTCATTTAATAGCAATAAATATTTAATGAAGGCCAATTATGCACCAGGTACTATGCTGGGTCCTATATTGATAAGACATGGTTCCTGCCTTCAATAAATGTTAATTCTGTTAGAGGTTGATGTGAAATTAACCAGCTAAAATTTAATATGTCACATTCTCAAAAAGAAAAAAGAACTATATAAATACGTCCAGGACAAACTAAGTACATTCAGAGGTTTAAGCACAAAGGATTAGGTGGTTGAAAATCATCATTAAAAGTGATAGACTTTGCTAGGTGGAGGAACGGAGATAGGATATCACAAGACAAGAAGAAAGACATGAACAAAATAAAATCACATGGCATATATGTCAGGAGATGGTGCCTGATTCCATCATAACAGTGCACGGTGTATCTGGTGGCTGGGCAAGAGTGTTGAATATCATGCAATGTGGTTCGGATTTTATTTAGAGGAAACAGACAGCTGTCCAAGATTTTAAAGAAGGGAAATCACATATTTAAATGTTTGTGTTAGAAAGGTAACTACTCTGACAGTAAAAGTGGATATGTAAATGAATAAGGAGAGAGAGTGAGAAAGAGAGAGAGTAAAAAAAGGGAATATAATGGAATCATGGATTCCAGAAACACAGCATTTCTCTAAACAAAATATCATGAGGCCCTACAGTAGGGGTGGGACAGTGAGAATAGAAAGGAGGGCATAAAGATGAGAGTTATGTGAGAATTAGATCAAAAGGACTGATTAATGAAAGAGAGTGGAGCCCATGATGAAGCAATTCATGGAGTGTATATTTCAAGGATGACAAGAGGGTTAAGTTACCAGATAAGGAAAAACCCACACAAGAGAGCAGTGATGAAGCAGAACAAGGAGAAAGTAATAAGAGGAAAGAATATAATGAAGAATATTTGACAAAAGTCAAATAGGATGAGGACTAAGAAAATATCATTATCATTACTTGCAACAACATAAGCTTGAGCCTATATAACACCTATATAATCACATTTCTCTCTAAATTAATTGTTTCCAAAAGCATATAGGAATTGATATTCAAAGTTGACAGGATTTTACTCAGAATTTATTATTTTTAATAATATTAGTATTTAAAATAAGATATTTAATAAAATAAAAATATTAATACTATAAAAAGGAATGCATTTCCCCTTCTGTCATTTACTTACCTGAATAAAATTTTCTTATCGTTGGGTATGTAGTAATCTCTGATTTCCTTTATGGTAAAGGTGTTGCATGGAGAGTCTCGAGAGAGGCACGGGAGTGGATTATAAGGACCAATGAGGCGCAGTTTCCATCGTGAGGATGATACATACGAGTCTCCAGTATATGCTTCACCCACGAATGTGTATCCTTTCTATAGGGAAGAAGAATTACACAGGAGGAATTTACACTGTTCCTAGTCTCTCAAATGTACAATATATGGATTCACAGTAGTAAAATGCTTTATTATCTTGATATACATAAAGATTCCAAGATCTCTTGAAAAATATACAGTCATTAGCATCATGTTTCGAAATCCCTTTTAGAAACTATCTTATATGTTTTCAGAAAAAAATCAATAACTTTAGACACACACCTTACATCCTTCACAAAGATTAACTCAAAATAGATTACAGACTGAAATGTAAAATGCAAAACTATCAAACGCTTAGAAGATAACCTAGATGACCTTGGGTATAGCAATGACTTTTTAGATACAACACCAAAAGCACAATCCATGACAGAAAGAATTCATAAGCTACACTTCATCAAAATTAAAAACTTCAGCTCTGTGAGAGAAAATGTCAAGAGAATGAGAAGACAAGCCATAGAGTGGGAGAAAATATTTGAAAAGGACACATATGATAGAGGATTGTTATCCAAAATACACAAAAACACTTGAAACTCAACAATAAGATAATAAAAATAAACTAAAAATAAAACTACCTGATTAAAATAATCAGGTAAATAATCAGGTAAAATAATCAAAATAAACTACTTGATTAAAAAATGGGCAAAAGATTTTAACAGACATCCTACCAAAGAAGATATACAGATGGCAAATAAGCATATGAAAAGATGCTCCACATCATATGTCATCAGAAAAATTTAAAGAAATGAGATACCATTACATATCTACCAGAATGGCCAAATTCCAGAACACTGACAATACTAAATGCTGACAAGGATGTAGAGCAACAGGAATTCTCATTCATTGATGGTGGTAATGAAGAATGGTACAGAGACTTTGGAGGATGGTTTGGTGGTTTCTTGCAAAACTAAACACATTCTTACTACACAATCCAGCCATTGCGCTGCTCAGTATTTACCCAAAGGAGAGGAAAATTTATGTCCACACAAACACCTATACATGTATGTTTATAGCTGCTTTATTCATAATTGCCAGAACTTAGAAGCAACGAAGATGTCCTTCCATAGGTGAATAGACAAATAAACTCTGGTACGTCCAGAGAACGGAATATTATGCAATGCTAAAAAGGAATGAGCTATTAAGCCATGAAGAGACATGGAGAAACTTTAAATGCATGGTTTTAAGTGAAAAAAAAGCCAAGTAAAAAGTTATATATACTATATTATTCCAACTATATGTCATTCTGGAAAAGGCAAAACTACGGAGACAGTAAAAGATGAGTGATTGCCAGGTGCTGGAGGATGGGTGATGAATAGGTGGGGCACAGAAGAATTTGAGGGGGATGAAAACACTCTTTGTGATACCATAATAACATATACATATCATTTTACATTTATCCAAAACCACAGAACGTACAACACCAACAGTGAACCATAATGTAAACCATGGACTTCGGGTGATAACGATGTGTCAGTGTAGGTTGACAAATTTTAACAAATGTCCCCTCTGGTGGGGGATGTTGATAATGGAGGACGCTGTGCATGTGTGGGGCAGGGAGTGTATAGGAAATCTCTGTACTTTCCTCTCAATTTTGCTGTGAGTCTAAAACTGCTCTAAAAAATAAAGTCTTATTTCAAAAAAAATCCCTAAAATGACTCAAAAGAGCTATTATGTTTTTTAACCTTGGAAGGAATCTGCATAGCCATATAAAGGACTGGGGGGGTGGGGGGGTGGGGTGGAGAGGGGCTGTGTAATCCCAATCTTCTGAAATATCTAGGGATAGAATAAAAGCCTAGTGGGAAACTAAGAAAACAAGCTGGTTTGGTTTAGGAATAGGACTAAATGAGCTCCTTAGAACCTTTTCCATTTTAAGAGTTTGGATGATTTTATGATTTTTTAAAAATGAGAATTTCCAATGCTTTCTTTTTGTCATACTTTCTTTGGAGAGAAGAAAGAAGAGAGCTGAGAGATGAATGTTCTAGAATAAAATTTACACGTACCTTGTTTTTGGTATAAAGATATGGCACCACTTTTTGGAATACCTTTGGCACTTGTTCCATTGTGTCATTATTAACAACGTGGAGCATGCAAACTGGAAGTGTAGTATATACTTTGGGAACCAAAATCATATCTTGAGGAAACAAAAATGTTTCTCTGTAATTACAAAAGCATGGATTTTTCCATTGACACAAATTGTAAAGAAAATTTGAAATTAGCTTCGGTCCTAAGAAATTTTAAAAGAAGAATTTAAAGTTCCAAATAAACTGTTTTTTAAAATCATTATTATTAATATACTACTTTGTCATGTAAATGAAAACTCTTTAAGAAATCCCATTTTATAAGTAATTTATGACTTTAATATGCAATTACTTGGAAATTAAATTATTTCTTTCTATACCGAAAGGACATCATTTTATTATATTATGTTTATCATACTCAAAAAAGATTCTAATAATTAACTTCACATTCTTCATATTTTATTTAAAGAAACATGGAAAAATTTCTGTAATATCTCATTTATGCATAGCAGATGTGTAAGTAACTTTAAGTTGTGAAAGAAACCTAAAAGTTCATACTTTTACTAATATCATAAATAAAACTCTACACATAAAAATATTGCATGCCATTTAAAGGGGCCGGCCCCATAGGAGCGTGGTTAAGTTCGCATGCTCCACATTGGCGGCCTGGAGTTGACTGGTTTGGATCCTGGGTACAGACCTGGCACCGCTCATCAGGCCATGCTTAGGTGGTGTCCCACACAGCAAACTAGAAGGACCCATAACTAGAATATACAACTATGTACTGGGGGGCTTTTGGGAAGAAAAAAAAAACCAGAGGAAGTTTGGCAACAGATGTTAGCTCAGGGTCAATCTTCCTCAAAAAAAGAATATACATATATTGCATGCCATTTAAAGATGGCATCTCTTGCCAATATATGATAGCCTCACCTGAATACTATAAACCAACTATTTGGTGGCTGGTCAGGATATGTCACGGTATAGTCAGCAAAAGCAATCTTTGTTTCTTCATCTTGATAGCATGGATAAGATTCCATAGACTTGCATTTGCTTTTAAACATTAGTCTAGAAATGTAAAAATAATTTAAGTACCAAAGGCAAAAGGAACTTTTAAAATAAATTTTATTTACTAAAAAGAAATAGGCAAAAAATAGCATAAAATATCATAGTCCATTGTTGGCTGGATTGAATCTCTGATCAAAGGAGGGGCTGTGGGGCTCATGGTGCATGGCATCAAAGTAGGAGAGCCCATTCCAGTTCAACCACAAAAGATGTCTCTCAAAGGTACCCAAAGTTCTCTGAAGTTCTTAGTCTAGGGAGAACCTAATTCACAGTTGATGGAGTAATTGAAGTGCATAGGTGGGAAATCACCAAAGTTCAAGCAATAAGGGTGGGAAAACTAGAAGCAGGCAAACTAGCAATAAAAATTCAGAGGTGGGAACCAATGAAGGTCTGGACTTGACATAGAGAATTGATACTGGAATGGAGTTTAAAGTAAGGAATGGATTTGGAAAAATTAATTAAAAAAAACAAAACTAAGATCATGAACAAAGGGAGACTGCCAGTTTTCCTTCTAGGGATTTCTAGTTCATAAGGGAGTGGTGCATGCGACTGGTTAAAAGAATTATGGGCTGAGGTTTCTCTATGTTTGCCCCCTGGGAGGCTGTGGAATATTCCAGAACATGAAGGAAGCGATGTGAGGGATCCTCTGGGTCCTATCCCTCCAACTGTACCAGGAACTGGGTCTAGACTCAGTAGCACCAGTAATCTAGAGTCTTTTATATAATATCTCCAGTATTAGCTGGAATGGGAGCCATTATGGCCACAGAAAACGGTTCTCTATCAGAGGTCTAGACAGAGCTGGATATGTTCTTGGTTTCCAGAAGGCAGATGGTTTAATCATCCTGTCAGTGGTCCTAAACTCTAACTTTCGTCTTCTCTACACCATGAGACTTCAAGAAACTCTGTTTCGCTTCTCAGAGGTTTTCTGCTTAGCATTTTAGATAAGAGCAACTAAGACAAACAAAAAGTAGTAAGAACCGTAGAGACGTTTCAGATAAAATATTGTGGGAGTTCAGAAGCAATGGTGTGTTTCTAGCTGCAGTGCTTAGGGAAAACTCAATGAACATGGTAGCATCTGAACTGGAGCTTGAAGTATACCAAGATACTGCAATAAGAAATATCGTTATTCTGTTTTACCTTAAGAGAGAAATTGCATACTGTTCTGCATTCAGTTCCAGGACAGCCCAAACTTTCTGAAGAGTGTCTGCAACACTGGTATTTTCTTTTGTGTCTAAAAATAACAACAAAAAATAGCAATATAAAAGCCTGAAGGTGCCTGAAAGATCATCTTGTTGAAAGCCTCCTTTTACAGATGAAGAAGTTGAGACTTGTGATAAGGAGGTATCCAGAGTCACAGGCTTTATTAGCAGCAAACTCATGTTCAAAATATAGACCTATAACCTCTAGTTGAGAGCTCCGTTCACCATGTTAAGCTGTTTCCCTTCATCTTTAGTTGAAAAATCATAAAATGTTCTTTGATCCAATTGAAGATACTCATCAAAGAGTTTACATCAAAAGATCTTTTATCACACTAAAAATTCCTTATGAAAGCTCTTATATCAGAAGAAGTAATCCACCCAATTTTTCTAAAAAGCAATGGCTAATAGGATCCCACTAAAGCTCAATCTAAAGCATAATCCACAATGGCTTAAGAGCAGATGATTTGCCAAGAAAAACGCAAATCCATAGTAAGTAACAAATTTAACATGACAGAAACTGACTTTTTTTTCTAATTATCCTAACAATTTCCTCATAGTACTTACCAGAATCTGAAATTGGTATCTTAACATATTTACTTCTCTACTGTATGTCTACCACCACTCTAACACAGGACTCATTAGAGCAGAAACCCTTCCAGTTTTCCTTATTTCTATGATGCCAGAATCTAGAAGAGTGCTGTTCACACAAGCCTTATTCAGTAAATATGTGCTAGTGAAAGAATTGCAAACACTATTAAAACATTATTTTGTTCGAGTTTTTGTCTTTATAAAGAGAAGGAAAATCATTTTATGAACATAATTTTTACAGCATATATGGACAACCAAAAGTATATTTTACCATATATTTAATTTGATGAATTAATAATTATTTTTTCTAATAAAAAATATAAAAACCAGTCAGTAATATTTTTCTGTCACAAAACTATGCAATGCAATTTGTTTGTTTTACATTTGAGTATCTATAATTTTTACTGCTTAGATGAACATTTTGATGGTTCTCGCTAAATGTTTCGAATAGACATTTTTACAACAAAAAGTTTCAATATGCTCAAAGAATTCTATTGGAGGTAAAGCTTTTCCTAAGAAAATGTCGACCAAAACTGCAGAATGAAAATAATTGAATAAAATTTTTGCCTCTGCAGTGTTTTATTTTAAGCTGACAAAATAGATCTTTTCACAAAATACTTTATTTCATATATTATTTATGAAATATATAAATATAATATATTTATTAAGTCAATAATATTGATTTGATAATAATATTGATTATTTTCATATTATTGATTTAAATCAATAATATTGATTTAATAAATATAATAACACATTTGAAATGCATTTTATGCCTTCTAAATGTATGTCACTGTGGACATATGTGGGAGTTTCTTCATTCAGTTCATTCATTCGTTTGCTCATTCATTCTCGCATCTCTTTGAAAAATGGTCTAGAAATGTAAAAATATCTATGATCTAGCTGGAGCTGACTCCTGCTGCATTCGGCTGTGTGCTGGAGCTGTATAGAGGAAAAGACCAGTTCCCTATTTTTAAGGAACCTCACAAGAGTTTGGGAAAAAATAGCTGATCAATCACTCACTCATTTATTCATTCAGCAAGTATTTCTTGTGAGCTTACTCTGTGCCAGGCACTGCACAAATTCTGGGAACAAGAGAGTGTGTGTGCTGTCGTGCATCCTGACCTCAAGGAATTTCAGTACTTATAAGAATTAAAAATAATTAGCCAAGTCATAAAGCAGGATGACTCTAAAATAACACACAAACGAATATTCATTTTCATACACACAAGTCTATTTTATAAATGATTGAAAAATTATACCTGGTGTCCTAGCTTTCATAAGCAATCTGACGTAAGACCCTCTCCACATGGCTTGAATTTTAATTGCTGCTGCTACTTCCTCAGGAGAATACTCTTTATCACTCGCTGGCACAGAATATTTAACGTCTACCCATTCCGCTGGAAAGGGAAAAACAAACTTTGGACTGAAAGTTATATTTATTCCATTTCCCAATTTTCAATGCCTTTCACTGCTAAAGCCTCTGACGGAACAATGCGCCACAACGACAGATGTCTCATTATATTTAAGACGGCCCTCTGTAGGGGGTCCTTTTTCAGAATGTAAACATTCTGGAGAAGGAAAACACACTAAATTGACACCTTAGCAAACTACTATTGATTCTTCTGAGAAAGTCTCAAGAGATTTCTTTCAAAACTGAAAGAAAATTTTACAATGGTAGGAATAGAGCATCGAGACAAGAGGAAGAGAAGGTTCCTTGGATCGGAGAATCTTCCCAGAATTCCTCAAATCGTACTGTACGGCCTGGCGACTTTCCTATTTTTTAAGGTCCGAAACAAATGAACCAGGGGAATTCTGGGCTCCTCCGGAAGTATGGGGGCTCGGCGACACATGGCGGAAGTTTGGAACCCCGTGAGCATCCCAGGGCACGGCTTGAACGCCACGATGCTGATGCAGATCTGTTCAGCCTGCTCCACGAAAGCTCTGAGTGCACTTGTCTCAGAGTACGTATCTTACATAAGGCTGGGAAACCCCACGTCTAAGTACCTAACACTAATCAGTACCTAAAGAAACATCTTCCAAGGAGGAATCAAGTAAGTCCAAGTCCAGAACCATGGCACGGAATGCAAATTTGAAGTTTGCAAGAGGTTTTGTTATTTGAGTTTTTTTCAGTAAACGCCATAAAGAAATATGAAAAACCTGGAAAAGACAAAATACATTAGTGTGTATATATTATATACATACAATTTTTTTTAAGATTGGCCCTGAACTAACATCTGTTGCCAATCTTCCTCTTTTCTTTTCCTTCTCAACAAAGCTCCCCAGTACGTGGTTGTATATGATAGTTGTAGGTCCTTCTGGTTCTTCTGTGCGGGACGCCACCTCAGCATGGGTTGACGAGTGGTGCTAGGTCCATGCCAGGATCCAAACCGGTGAACCCCAGGCCACCGAAGCAGGACACGTGAACTTAACCACTCGACCACGGGGTCGGCCCCTAGTATATTTTTTAAACCGAGAAAATACCATTACCTTGGTTAATACTGTTACCTAGGTTCTGACCTAGAGGTAAGAGAAACTCTAAAATAACTTTGAATACTCTAAAAATAAAAAAATATATATTTCTCAGATATATACACAATCTAACAGATACTCTTCAAAGTCCCACTCACTCAGTAATAAGGCAAAATTATTTATCCTTTGACTCTTTCTAATTTAATAAAATTTAATCACTACAACAATGTTTATAATGTACCCTCAATCAAAATATAAAAATAAACTGGTTTAGGAGACATATCATAAGATAGAAAATATGGTCCTTGTGCTTAAGCATGTTAAATACAATATTTCATTGATTTTAAGATGCCGTCCATTATAAGACACACTATTATTTCATGTGCTACAAGAAAGAAAATATGGTACTTAGAGCTTTTAATCACTATCTTAAGTATGTACTTCCTATTGAAAAGCTCTTTTAGATTTATTTGAATGTAGCTTTTTCATCATATATCACACTGAAACATACATGAAAAAATAAGCCGCATAAGTTGGTTAAGTATTTCAAAACTATTCACATTCAAACTCCTATTCTTGTAAATCACTTTTAGAAAATGCTTAACATCTGTGTCTTCCTATGCAATTTTGTCCTTCATGTTGTCAAAAGCTTTGAAGACGCATCATTGCCTAAAGAGCGTTTGAGTTTTGTTCCCGGGGTTTTTCCCAAGGTACTGACCCCCATTCAATAAGTGTTGATGCTGACTCATTCTTGATCTTACCAAAGAGAACTGACAGAAGGTTTTTAGACAACAAGAACACGTGTTCCTTCTTCCAAATTTTTTCATGGTTTTTATCCTGAAATGCTGAGGATTCCATTTATCCAGTCATGCCACTGAGAATAGCAACCATGTGTTGATAGCTTATTTCTTTTTAGTACGGAATAATATTCCATTGTCTGGGTGTGCCACAGTTTATTTATCGATTCACCTACTGAAAGACATCTTGGTTGCTTTGAAGTTTTGGTAATTTTAAAGCATCTATAAATATACGTGAATAGATGTTTTTATGGACATAAGTTTTCAATTCCCTTGAGTAAATACTAAGGAGGAATCTTAAATGTATGTTACTGAGTTAAAGAAGCCAATATGGAAAGGCTACATACCGTATATGGCTACATCAAATTATATGACACTCTGGAAAAGGCAAAACTATGGAGACAATAAAAAGACCACTGGTTGTCAAGAGTTGGGGTCAGGGAAGGACGAACAGGTTTGGTACAGAGATTTTTTAGGGCAGTGAAAATATTCTTCATGATATCATAGTGATGGATACATGTCATTATACCTTTGTCAAAACCCATAAAGAATACAACACCAAGAATGATCCCTAATGTAAGTTATGGACTCTGGGAGGTGATGATGTGTCAATGTAGGTTGGTCAATTCTAACAAACGTCCCAAGTGGTGGCGGATGTTGATAGTGGGAGCTGCTGTGCCTGTGTGGGGAAGGGGGTATATGGGAAATCTGTACCTTCTTCTCAATTTTGCTGTGAACCAAGAAAATAAAAATAAGAAAATATTAAAAAATAAAATATTTAATAAAATATTTTATATTATATATTATAATGAATATATATAATATTTTACATATATTATATAATATATGTTATAGTTATATGAATACAGTATTTAATAAAAAATAAATCTGACCAGGTGTCCTCTGTTTTCACTTGTTAAACCTGGCAATGTTACTCTCCAAGAGGCAACTGACCATGTCTGAAGTCATTTTTAGTTGTCACAACAATGTGCTACCTGCAACTAGAAGGTGTGGCCAGCCATGCTGCTACACATTCTACAGTGCATGGGTGAGCCCCACAACAAAAGTCATCTGGCCCAAAATGTCAATAGTGTTCAGGTTCAAAAACATGGACCTAGAGGGTACCACAAAGTCTCTTTGTTTCAATTCCTCCAGGCTTTCTGTGAAGCCAGGATGCTACTCAGCCCCAGCAAAGGTACAAGTTTTAACTGTCATGAAGTTAATGCCTCTGAGGACAACTATCTATCAGTGGGAAAAGAGCTGATGGATAAGCGTCACAATCCCCCATCCTTTAGCGGGACCTTCTGAGTGATGTCCTATAAAGTTTACCAGGACCCCCCTGGATGATTGAGCCCCAGCAGCCCACAGCAGTAGATATCACATCATTTAATGAATAATTTTCTCTTTCTCATCTCATTCTTCCCACTCCCTCATTTCTGCTTCTGGAAGTCACTTCCCAAATAGTCTCTGACCAAAATACTTTCTCAGGCTCTGATTTGGGGGGGGGTCACCTAATATAAGATATATCATTTTGAATAGAAAGTATCCTCCTGGGAACATCATGTCCCGAGCAGGCTTACCCTGAAGTGCTGGGCAGTTAGCTCCTTGTCACGGAGGGGCAAAGGGTAGTGAGCTGTTTGCAGATCCCTCAGAGCTCTGGGAAGTTTGCGCTTATCTTTGAAATGAGCGATCACATTTCCGACAGCTTTCAAAATGGTTAGCGACTGCTCTGCGAATCGGTAGCTCTCCTGTGAAGACAGAGCATAGCAGCCAGTGTCACTCTCATTTATTCAAGTGTAAATCAGTTTACAGAAATTTAATTTCTGTGGTTATAGTAAACCTCTACTCTATGGTTGATTCGATAGTTATTTCTGGTGGACTTATGAGATCAAAGCATCTTGCTGGGTGCTGTGGCCTCAGAGATTTAAAACAAGGAACCCAATTCCTGCTGTAGTGGGAACACATAGGAAGAACAACTACCCAATATTGGGGGCCAGGGGAAACTTCTCCACTGGATTAATATCCAGAGTTAGTTGTGAAGAATGTCCAGGAATTCTTCTGACAAGAATTAGTCAAGAATTAGACAAGAATTCTTCTGTGCAAGAACTAGTCTGACAAAAACTGTGCAGGGGTCAATGACCGAGGGGCAGAGAGGAGTTCAGAGAGAGAGCAATAAAGATCAAAAGACAAGAGTTTGAACTAGCATGGGCTCTGGCTCCCTCTTGCTATCAACTGGGAGGAAACAATAAAAGCAAGATAAGGATATGGAAAAAAGTATGGAGGTTCCTCAAAAAGTTAAAAATGGGCTACCATATGATCCAGCTATCCCACTTCTGAGCATATATTCAAAGGAAATGAAAACAGGATATTGAAGAAATATCTGCACTCCCTTGTTCATTGTAGCATCATTCACAACAGCTAAGATGCGGAAACAACTGAGCATCCATCAGTGGATGAATGGGTAGAGAAGATGCGACATAGATAGAGGAATGTTATTTAGCCACAAGAAAGAAGGAAATCCTGCCAAATGTGACAATATGGATAGACCTTGAGGGCACTGTGCCAAGTGAAAGACAAATACCGCATTCTATCACTTACATGTGGAATCTAAAAAAAAAAACAGTCCAACTCATGGAAACAGAGAGTAGAAAAGTGGTTGCCAGGGACTGAGTGGTGGGGGAAATAGGAACAGGCTGGTCAAAGGGTACAAACTTTCAGTTACTAGATGAATAAGGTCTGAGGATCTAATGTATAACAAAGTGACTATATTTGATAACATTGCGTTGTATAATTGAAACTTGCTAAGAGAGTACAACTTAAATGTTTTCACCAAAAAAAAAGCTAAATATATGAGGTGATAGATGTGTTAATTAACTGGGTGGTAGGTATCCTTTCACAGTGTGTATGTATATCAAACCATCATGATGTACACTTTAAATCTCTTACGATTTTATTTGTCAATTATACTTCAACAAAGCTGGAGGGGGAAAAGAAATTTCAATAAATCTGTAGTTAAAAAAAAAAGAAAAGAAGAAGAAGAAGAAAACCCTGAGGAGTTTGCAGATTATCTTGATTGGTGTGTGTGGTGGGGGTAGTTAGTTGCTGGTGGAGGAGGTGCCCAAAGCAGACAGCGCTTGGAGGTGCCATGAAGAGGGTGAAGTTGGAGGAAAACTTTGTAAAGCCTTTTTTTCCCCCTTTTCTAGTGGGCGTCATGGTGCAATCAGGAGCAATCATTGCTCCACAGTTCTCTGCAGAAATTTCGAGGGATGGCCCAGCAGCTATTATGCCTAGACAGCCCAGACTTCCTGATGGAATGAGAAGCTGTCGAAAACAGATATAATTGACGTGCCACCTTAAGGCATCTCCATTGTTAGTACCGTCAAGTCCATTCCGACTCCCAGTGACCCTGTGCACAGCAGAGCGGAACTCTGCCTGGTCTTTTTGTGCCATCACTCTCCCCTTCCAGGGCTCTATCAGACAGTGCTCTGCTGCTTTTCATTGGGTTTTCATGGCCAATCTTTTTGGAAGTGGGTTGCCAGGTCTCTCTTCCTAGTCTGTCTTAGTCTGGAAGCTCCGCTAAAACATGTCCACCATGGTGACCCTGCTGGTATTTGAAATACTGGTGGCATAGCTTTCAGCATCACAGCAACACGCAGCTGCCACAGTATGACACGGACCAACAGACGGGTGGTGTGGTTCCCTGACCAGGAAACGAACTTGGGCCATGGTGGCCGAATCTTAACCATCAGACTACCAGGGCTGGCTTCTCCATTACCTCCTCCCTAACTCCCCAAAGCCTAGGGAAAGACTATTCTCTGCGGTGTTTCTCCCTGAGGTGAAACCATAACCAGAAAAGTTGTCTGGTCTCTTGGCGGCTTTGGCATTGGGAGTGATCAAGTACCGCTCTGAGGAGCTTGAGTCTGTCTGCTCTTGAACCAGCCCATCCCCTTTTGCTTCTTCATTAGAATTGAAGACTACTGGGGCTTGGCCTTGAGCCCTAATAATTTTTATAAGATGGAAGAGTTGATAACCCCAGGGAAATATGAGTTCACAGACCAAAATAACTAAACATCTAGACAGTTAAATCACCTAAAGAAAGAAACAAACTAGATAATCTATGCTATCTAAAGTAGATTTTTTTTAAAGAAAAAACAAAACAAAAATTTAAAATACGTAGGGTAAACATAACTAAGGGAATAAGGGAAATCTACTTATAAGGTGGGCTTCCTTCTGCGTCCATTGAGGGAGAGGGAGAAGACAGATGAGAGGTGGTGCAGCAAAGAGAAGAGGCAGCCATGGGGAATCCTGCACAAACACTGCCTCGAAAGGCAGGAATGCAGGACTGGAGCATGTCCGAGCCACAGAAACACAGCTTAAGGGAGCTGGCCTGGAGCCATCTTGTTGCTATCCTGGCCAAGAAGTTTACTGGCTGGCTGAGAGGATCCCATCTCATTAATATGAGGACGTGCTACGTGGAGATGGGTTGAGGGAGGGGAGTAAAGCTCAATCATGCGGGGCAAGACCCTCCAAATGCACCTGCCCCAAAAATGCACCTGCCTACATCTCTAAAGAGGATGTCCTTTTGAGGACAACTAAAACCAGGACAGGACCTCAGGGGAGATGCCGGCCCCTTGTCTCTTCTTTCAGATCCTGTCAGAGCAGAGGAGCAAGAGAAATTAAGGAGAGACCAAGAGGAGAAAAAGGAGATGAAGAAGCAACAGAACCTTCTCTGGATCCTCTGCTCCTGTATCCCAGAGACAACCACTCCGAATTCCTGAGGCCAAGGAAGGGTTAAATGGAGCCTACGATACCAAAATTTTAAACTACATTGAAATGGACTGTACTGATGCTTTATACCCCCCAAAAGACCAAAAATACTATAGGATCTACATGGGATGTTAACAGATGTGAAAGGGGATTCAATGGAGCAGAGGTGAAGGTAGTTGTTGGAGAAAAACTAAAATGATTTTATTTGCATCCCTACAGAGTTTATTGTACCTGTCGTATGTGTGAATTTCTTGAAGAATATACTTAATAGTTTTAAAAGGGAAAAATGGGTAAGTTGAATCAAAAATAGGAATATGGTTTAGCTCAAATTCTTTGAAAATAAGGCACAAAAGAATTCACAGTTGCTAAAATATTTACCGGCTCGAAGTTAGGTAGCACGACATCTTCATCCCCAACGACGAAAGTCATCATGCTGCAGATGTTTATGGAATGCCCCACCGGGGAGTAGGCAGTGAAGAGCAGCATGTGCCTCCTAAAGAGGATGGCGGACATATGAGGACCTGTTCCTTCACTGTAGTCCTTGCCTCTGTTAGTTTCTTGATGACATTTTGCGCTCGAAGTCAAATGTTAGTAAGAGTTGCATTCTTTAACATAGATATAATAAAGACCTTGGAATTCCCACTCCAAAAGAACCCTCAGAGACCATGGAATGTACATTTCACTAATTACGTCAGACAAAACTAGTGACACTAAATGACAAACTTGCACACGCTGGAGATATCCCCATACACTGAAGTCACATTGCAAAACACTCATCTTGAATTTTCCCTGACAACAGCAATAATTCATGGTGGTATAGGGCTTTGTAGACTTCATAGTCATTTTCTATCACATAGAATTAGCATGATTGATCTTGGGGAATCCAGCAAAAATATTTCTTTCATCTGAAATATGAGGTAATATTTTGATTTTTATTTACCAAAATCAAGAAAACTTTTTGATTATGTATATTTTCTTTAAAGTGGAAAATGTGATTGTTTAGCAAACTTTACCTTAATTAAAAATAAAATCTAGTAAAACAAACTACAGGTAAAACTATAGATTGGTTGGTAGAGGAAAATGCTATGTTTCCCAATCTATTTTTAAATAAAATCACAGTTCTTGCTAAAGAAGATAGTAAGATTTCCAGGAAAACAAAAAGGATTTTTGGGGCCAGCCTGGTGGCATAGTGGTTAAGTTTGTGCACTCCGCTTCAGTGGCCTGGGGTTCGCAGGCTTGGATCCTGGGTGCAGACATAGTACCACTTGTCAAGCCACACTGTGGTGGCATCCCATGTAAAACAGAGGAAGATTGACACAGATGTTAGCTCAGCAACAATCTTCCTCAAGCAAAAGGAGGAGGATTGGCAACAGATGTTAGCTCAAGGCCAATCTTCCTCAAGCAAAAAGAGGAGGATTGGAAACAGATATTAGCTCAGGTCCCACCTTCCTCACCAAAAAAAATTTTAAATAAATAAATAAACAAAAAGAATTCATAATAAATTAATTTATGGAAATGCAAGGTTAAATAAGTTAAACCGTATTCTTCACTAAAGAAATTACCAGACTCCTTGGCAACTATGAATCTTCTAGGAGGAGATTCAATGTACATCGTTTCTTCAGTTTACCTGTTCATGGAATTATTTTTCTCAAGAATCACAATGATAGATCTGTGCCTTATGAAATCACTTCAAGAAACAACATCCCAGATTCCGTATTGTTTAATTATTTAGTAGTTAATAGTTTCCAAGTCTTCAAAAAATTCTTAGTATGGGAAAAAGGAAGCCATTCCATACCCGACAGGCAGGCGAACAATGGTAGCCTTGGTGGCATAGGTATGAATCTTCAGAACCAGATTGCCTGGCTTCAGAGATTTCCAAGAAACTGTCTCAGCTATAAGTAGTCCAGGCTCTACGGGAGGGCTGTCTTTTGTTAAAGCTTTAGGAAAAGTGAAAAATATTAAAATTTGATTGTGAGAGTATAGTTGGCCTTCACTGGTATTGCTTTCCAGTAACAACATTAACAGTAATAATAAAATCAGGAATTAGAGATATTCTAAAAATGTTCATTACTCTTGATAAATCACTATTGGAAGTGATACTCAGGTGGAACCCAGACCTTCCTCCTTTGTCTTATTTTCCTCCTCATAATCATCCCCTTGGGTGAGGAAACCAGGAATGGGAAAGTTAGGAAGAGGAGGACAGACAGGAGCATCTCGGGGTAGTATGCCATCGCTTTTATTATCTACAGCTGTAATGACACTATCCCTCTAGTTGCAATTTTAAAGGAGGAAAAACACCACATCTAGGAAAATAAGAGATTTTCCTAAGATATTTGCAAAGCTAGGTCAAAATACCCTATTGTTTACTTAAGTTTTGATCTTTGATTCTTAGCTTTGGCCATGTGTAGAAATAGCAAATAAAAATTTAATTTTAATATCAAGTTTTTCTCTTAAAAAGAATAAAGAATATGGACCATGCTTCATTAGTAGCTGAGGGCAATATATTCCTTACCCTATGTCCACATAACACTCAAGCTGAGGACATAAGGCCACAGCATGACTTGAAACACCTCTACGCAAATAGAATGTTCTAGGACATGGTGTGGCTTAGGAGGTATTGGGTAGGTAGACATACTATGCTTACACCACTAAAGTTTGGAAAGTTTATTCAGCAAGCATTTATCACCCACCTGCTATACACCAGACACCATTCAAAACATTGAGGATATTTTGGTGAAAAATCATAGTCCTCGTTCTCAAAGTTGGGAACATTCAATATGAAGCATTCAGCAAATATTTAGTGAGCCTCTACAGTGCCAGGTACTGTTAGAGTTAGAGGTAAATACTTTAACAAAACCGGCCAAAGAATTAAGGAATGATGCTTTGTGCATATGTGCATGTGTGTGCAAAGGGTTGGCCATAGAAAGGAGCAGGACAGTCCATCCATTCGGATGGGAGGGTAGGCTGACCAGAGCTTGGGAGAGTTGCTGATGGAAAGATGAAGCAGACCATTTCTGCTGTCTTCTGTCTCTTCTGTGGAAACAGCAGCAAGGTCATCAACTGACAATGAGTGAGGACAAGAGTGGGTGTCAGAGACTGCGAGAGAGAGAGGAGAGTGACTTCAAAGTTCGAAATAGTTATCCTTGAGAGTGAGACTGGGAAACATGAAGGAACTAGGGAAATGGTGGCAAGCTCAGAGGCTTTTCTGAGATCTTTGGTCCCCCATTTAAACTGGGGCTAGCTGATATGACTGGTTTTTTTCCCCCTCTAGTCACATTCAGCTGCTCTGATGCAACCGCAGTTAGGTGTAGAGTTCAATTGTTGGGTTCAACCAATATTAGGATTTTGCCAGGAAGGTAAGATGAGAGGGTAAGAAGAGCAATTGCGTTGTGGGTACAATTACAATGGTGGATCACGGAACCCATGTTGGGAATGAGAGAAATAAGAATGTGAGGAGAGGGATGGAGAGAGAAAAAGTGGCAGAGCCAGTGGTGGTCCCAGAGGAGTCAAAGAATTGTAGGAGCGGGAGTTCTAGGGAGAGTGAACTGGAGAGTCAGGGGATGGTGGTCAGAGAGCTTGAAATTGGGATGATATAGCAAATGGTACAGTAAATTCTAAAGTATATTCACGAAAGTAGGGGCCCAAGGTGGGATAGAGGAAAAGATCTTCAGAATTGTCAAATCAAAGAAGAAAGTATTCATGTTTTTTAATAGATTTTGAAAGAATCAAGAATAGCACATATAGGTGGAAAGAAAAACAATGAGTAGGCATGCCAAAGAGGTGAGTACACGACTACAGCAAGTAGGGGTGTAGGTGCCAAGAGAGCATAACCCTTGATGTTGGAGAAGTAAGACGCTCATCGGATGTGGTGTAAGCGTGACTCCCTCACAGGGTCTGGAGAGGGAATATGTTCCTTCATCCAGAGTCTAAAAATCTTCCTCTGCATTTCCCCTGGGCTGAAAGTGAGCCAGGCTTTAAGACTGTAATTTTCTAGAGCCCTCTTACCTCCAGATTCTCCCCAGCGGACCAATGCAGAAAAACAAACCAGTAGTTCAATAGGTTTTAGACTATCCACAAACAGATAGTAGGACACACGTTCATCCGAGAACTGCAAGAAATCAGACCAGCCATTGTACTTAATATCAGTCTATTAATGCTATATTTCTCACTTCTAATAATAATGCAATACCTAGCATTAGACACCACAATAAGTACTGTACAGGTTCAATGATATGAAGAAGATCATACCAGGTGAATGTTGGCAACAGGCTATGGAAGCTGGGTCCGCAGGGCCTGTGTGAAACTGGCTGCTGTGTCAGAGAGAGTCACAGCTCTTCTCCATGAGTAAAGAAAAAGGATACGCCTGTTCCAGAAATCACACATAGAGGAGGAGACTGGGCCGGGGCCGAGCAGTGCTCAGAGAACGGGTCCCTGACAAGTAGACAGGCCGCAGGGTAGCTTTGGTAGAGAACAGAAGTGTCTAAAGAGCGTGTTAAAAGGGATTTTGCAGAGTGGCATGTGATATGAACCTTCTGTTCCTTCTTTCTACGAGATCTTCAGAAGTATATCCATTGTATGCTAATCACCAGACTGGATTTTTGTTCTGGAGATGCAAAAGAGCCCTGAGTAAAACCAGAAGTTCCCCTAAAGGAAAACCACATAAGAATTACGTGAACATGATCTCAATCCATCCTATGTGGGTACTATTGGTATCTATAATTATAGATGAAGGAACTGAAACACAGAGAGGGTGAATAACTTGCCAAAGGTCACAGAGCATGCAAGTAGCAAAGCTGAGATTCAAAAGTAGAGATTCAAAACTATCTACCTGACCCCAAGGCTGGTATTCTCGACTATTATGCTATCATTGCCTTTCCAATTCTCAGTGCTTCAACGTGATTTGACTGATGGTATGTGGTAAACGTGTTACATGAATTTAATTGTAGTTATACTTTAAAAGCTTTCCATATTATTTTACAAGAATATTTAAATAGCCAGTTAAAATATGAAAGAAAAATCTCTAGTAGTACTGTGAAGAAGGAAATATTATTTCATTATGACAAGATTGCTAGCAATGCCTGATACAATGTAATGATGTTTTAAGTGATTGCTTTCCCCAATATTTTCCTATAGTTAGCATTTGGCACTTTATTTCATTTGTTTCCTTTTAGCTGCAACATGTGGGTGATAGAGACAGTTGTTTCAAATATTCACTATCTAAGACTATACAGGCCCCTGAATTTGCCAGCCCAGCGTGCTCGCCTGAGGAGGAGTTTCTGCACAGAGCTCATTTGCTGTCATTTTTAAGAGTCTGAGAATTTGGGGGTAGAGTGGCCCTGGAGACCACATAAGGGCACTCTGCCCTGGTGCCAGCACAAGGCACTTTTGAGAGCGCCCAGCCCAGGTCCCACACTGAGCACCAATGGATCCTCTAAGGAGTGGGGAGAGGAGAGGTCTCAGTCTCCTTGCCCCCAGTTCAGCTGACAGCGCCTGTGGCCACTAAAATCAGGAATACCTGGCTTCAGTCCACAACCCATCCTTCCTTTCAGCCATACTAAAGGCTGTTAAGTTTGGGTTCCAAAACCTTTAAGAAAAAGTTATTGTTTGCTCACAACATTGATGCTAAAAAAATTTCAAAAGAGTGAAGAGACTCATATAGGGATGTCATCATTTTATTTTGCCAAGTTGGGACTTTAAAAGGAAAAAAAACCCCTATATTTACCATCACTTTAAAAAAAATAAGATTAGAATAAAGAACAGTTGGCCATTTTCCAAACACAGACACATAGATATTAGGATGGTGATATGCAAACTGCCTTTAGTAATAATAAAGACAGCCAACATTTATTTTCGCCAAGTGATAGGCATTCCTCCAAGCATTTTACATACATTATCTCACTTACTTTTAAACTGTAATGACATAGGTCTTTTATTATTGCCATTTTACAGATAACAAAACTGAGGCAAAGAGAACTTAAATAACTTGCTCAAAGTCCCACCCCAAGTGGAGCCTGGATTCAAAACCAGGCAGCCGGCCCCAAGATCCTCCTCTGCTTCTCCCAAAGGTGTGCTCAGGAGAAGAGCACGGGCGCCACGTCAGACAGCCAGTTCTCCTGATGTTTGCGCCACTGCCTAGTTTTGTGATCCTGGGCTATTTACTCCGCCTTGATCTGCCTCAGTTTCCTTACCTGAAAAATGATGATAATAATAATCCTTTCATAGGGCATGCTATGAGGAGTTCATGTAACAAAGAACCGAGGCTGGCAACAGAGTAAGCTCCTATAAATGACTGTCATTTTATTATTGCCAATTGTTCGAATATATAAATATGCCCAAGTTAACTATAAACCATATACTACTCTCATACCGTACTCTGGGCTCAGTTACTCTAAATGAACAGTTTTGTTATCTTTGTAAGTCAAAGCATTCCTCTGGGTGTTTTACAGATAGATTTCAGCACTGGTTGGACCGTTTCTGGCCCCCTCTCCCGGGGTGCAGCCACTACCACAGACCTGATCCTTACTTTCCGATCAGGCCACCAGATACAGAGAGCACCTTTGAGGATGCTCAAAAGGTTTCTCTGCCTGCATTTTCATCTAGTACAAGTGCGATGGGAAAAGTCATCTCCAAGACTCCTTGCTTCCCCCAGCTCTGCATACTGCTGGTGGAGGTGTGGGATTATCACTGGGCTTGGATGGCCCCATACAAGCAACATGCAAGTTTCAGTACAATTTAGTTTTCCAGAATACGTGTTATATTTTCCCCCCAAATTCCACTCAATGTGAGATTTGTTAATTCATTCATTCAACAACTTTTTATTGAGTTCCTGCCTCATGCCAGGACCAGTATTGCAATTGAACAAAAAGACAGAGTCCTTCTACAGATTTTGACATCAAGTGGGCAGGGAGGTGGAGGGGCACAGAGAAGTAACTAGACAGGATGGAGGGAGGTAAGATCTGGGTGAGGATGAGTCATACTTGGTACATACGTGCCTCACCCAGACCCTATGGACAGGGAAGGAGGTCTCAGAGGGTCAAGGACAGCCATGCTGCTCTGAAGGGCTTCTAGGCATTAGCCAGGTGGAAACAATAAGCATGAAGGGGAATGAACTCTGGCCAGAGGGAGGAACACGGGCAAAAATAACAGAAATGGTAGTGAAAACGTGCTCATGTTGTAGGAATTGCACGCAATTTGGTGAACACTAATTGAAATCAAATATAATAAATTTACTTGTGCTTCTCTTTCATTAATTCATAAATCAAAATTTTCTTAATGTGAATTTATACAATAACGCAGCTCAGAATTGAACTACTATGACAACCAGATGGATCACATGTAAGGGTATGAGGTGGCGAAGTCTTGCTCATTTCCCGGAGAATAGATTAGTAGAAGATCCTAATAATTATTTTTTTAGATATGATAATGTTACAAGTTTAGAAATGCTTGATAAATTTGAAGATGTTTTTCACTAGCATGATTCTACTAAAACTTTAAATATAAGAAGAGAAAGAGAAGAGATCATAATATTTTTACCTTGAATTCTGTTTTTTGAAAGGTCAAGCAATATGAACTTGGCCTGTGGAAAATACATATATTCCTGAAAAACATTATTTAAAAAGGATTATTGCCATTATATACAACAGACTAGTACTACACGTTAAGTTTCTTAGAATCAAATAATTACAGGCAGAACAAGTTAAAGACACATGAAAGTTAAAAAATAAGAACAATTCAGAGAGAGAAAATTGGTTTCCAGGGCTAGTGGGTGAGGGAAATAGAGAGAGGTTGGTAAAGGGTGCAAACTCTCAGTTATAAGATGGAGAAGGCCTGAGGTTCCATTGTGTAACATGGTGACTACAGGTGATGACAGTGTACCGCAGAATTGAAATTTTCTGAGAGATTATATCAACACTAGACTAATATTGGCTTAACTCTCTTAAGTGATAACTAAAAATTAGTAGCTTCTATATCCACTATATTCAATACACACAAAAAATTTATACTTACTGAAAGCATACACAAAAGTCTTCAAAATCTAACCATATTTCTTTAGAAACACCATTATTTATTGCTATAAGGTCCTCCTGTGACTTTTCCTGTGACTCTGTCACCTGGCTGACCAAATCTCTTTCTAAACCGACTCCCTCAGCTTGATGAGCTGCGTCATTCATTCCAAGGTCTGTTAGTTCATCTGTGCAGAGTAGAAGGTAAATATGTCAAACACATCTATGTTGTTAAATATGAAGTTATTAAGATACGGAAAATTGTAGTGGGAAGCTCATAGATCAAAGTCTATTTTGAAAAACATTTACTGATACAATCATTTACATGCAGGCCTCAAGTTTGTGGCGGTCCATACAGAGACACATTTTCATACACTGGGGAGAATTCAATCATCACTTATCCTCATAATAGAGTGTTCAGAAGTTTTGAAATCATTTTCATAAGTTTGTGCACACATTCTTTAGAGATTATAGATATAACAGAAGTTAGCTAGCTTTCGTACTTAAAATATGCTATAGACAGACAGTCATATAAGAGGGGATGGCTCTGACAGCAGAAGAAGAAAGAAAAATTTGAAAGTTTTATTGCAATAAATGCATTTCTGTAAGCCACTTAATCACTCCCTATTGTTAGTGATTCTGTGATCTTATTTTATGTTTATCAAGGAATGCATAAAGTTCTCATACACTTTGTGAACCCCAATTTTATATATACACATGCCACATACTTTTTTGGATTTGAACCTTGGCCAAGTTCTTAGTTAGGAACTGAGGAATTCGTAGTAGTTTCAGCACTTTGATCACAGCACGCATGCATTAAAACACATGAACTTTACTCATGGGCCTTAATCAGATCATCTTTTATTTTGACTTTAAGCTTGAGTTTAACAAGAGAGATTATCTGATTTTTTCAGCCCAGAGCAAATTAGACTCAGCACATCAGAGGAGTCACTGGAGAGAGGCTGAGAGCCAGGAGAAGGGAGAACGAAAAGATCTCAAGAAGCAGAGAGCCCTTTGTGCTTTGATGTCTGTGAAAAAAATCATGAGATTACTAATTTACCTTTTCCAGATGTAACTTGTGAAGCAAGATTACCCTGTGAATTGAAAGGAATGCATTAAGAAACCACTTATAAATTTAACAAAATACTACAGCTTTCTAAAGCATCAAAGTTTTTAAAAGAATTAATAATCTTTAAACATTGAAGAAATAGATTTCTGCAAATAATTACTAAAAAATACAGTAAAACAGAGAATTTATTTTTAACCTTAAAATTCAAAAGATGTGAATTTAATTAAATAATTGGCTGAGGGTTTAAGCTTATGACATTTAAACAAAGAATATGTGAATTTATCATATGATTGAATCTTATAATAAAAGTCAAATTAAAACAGTATCTCTAAGCAGATATATTACTCATTATGAGGCACTTGTCATTAATACAGATTGAGTATAATGAGATTATAATTCACAATTAATCTACAGAGCCTAGAAAGACTGGTTTCAAATTATAAAAGTTGTTCCTCAAAATTTTAACAGGGAAATTAAGTTGAATTTACATGTACAACTGAGTTTTCTCTGTGTAAAAGATAAAATGGCACAAACTCATAGAGACCAATAATGGGTGATGTCAACAATATTTTGGCTCAAGTAAAGCGGATGGAGCAGACAGGAGAGGAGAGATAACTGGATACTAAAGACTAGTGAGAAGCAAGCCCAGCCATGCCTTAGGACCCCAGAAACAATCAGTAGGCATCTGAGAAGGAGAGAACGAGATTTGGGCTGACAACACAAGATTGGGATGTATGTCTATATCAGGAACAGACAAATCCCCTCTTCTTCTCCCTCATTCCTTCCGGTTTAGCACTGAGCCCTCTTCTGCCTAACCAGGACACTAAAAGTTGCTTCAAGTGGAGAAAGTAATTGAGAAATCTCCGGACGTGAGTTCACAGATACCATGGGAAGCAGAAGAGGCTATGTACAGAGAGGAGAGGAATTAAGCGAAAGACCGCACGCTGAACCTCGGAACTCCCAGCTCCTCTGTGCTGCTGGGCTTCAGTGGACAAGTGTACATCAACCCCGTGACCCCATTCAACCCCACCAGGGAGATTAGAGGACCCTTAACTGGAGAAGCTGATCACAGACAGGGAAACTCCCAGGGAATCTGACATTCAGAGCTAATCTCACCCCCAAATGAAGCTCATTCATTCCCAATTACCTAAATTACAGTCTCCACTCGACAAGCTGTATCCATGTTATAAAGCTGCTCCCAGCAGCAGCTCTTTAATGTCAGAAATTCCTTAAATACTTGTGTACAGCAAAGTGTCACCCGACAATCAAGGAAAGATTCTTACATGAAAGAAAGAAAATAATGGATGTGGGTGGGGAAGTTCACAGAAAACAAAAACAATAATATGGACAGCAATTTTTAAAATTAGCAACATCAGAAAGATGAGAGGATATTCATCTATCAAATAAGATTCTACAAAAATATAATCAAGAACAAGAGAGAGCTCTGAGAAAGTAAAGTAGGAAAAGTGAAACAAATTCAACAGAAAGCTTGGACAGTAAGTTGATACAAAAGGCTAAGAGACTAAAATAGAAAACTTTTAGAAGAAAACAATAGGTCAAAAGCTTCATGAAATTGTATTTGGCAATGATTTCTTGGAGATGAGACCAAAAGCACCGACAACAAAAGTAAACATAGATTAATTAGAATACATCAAAATTAAAAACTTCTGTGCATCAAAGAACACAATCAATAGAGTGAAAATGTAACCTACAGAATGGGAAAAATATTTGCAAATCACATATCTGATAAAGGGTTAACATCAAGAATATAGAAAGAACTTCTACAAAGAGCAACAACAAAACTTGACTGAAAAATAGGCAAAAGACTTGAATAAATCTTTATCCAAAGAAGATATAGAAATGGTAAACAAGCACATGAAAAGATACTCAACATCACTAATCATTAAGGAAACGCGGATAAAAACTACAAAGAGATATCACCTCACACCCATTAGGATGGTTACTATTAAAAAACGACAACAGGAAATAAGAGTTAGTGAAGACATGAAGAAATTGGAATCCTTGTGCACTCCTGGTGGGAATATAAAATGATACAGTCGCTATGGAAAACAGTATGGAAATTCCTGAAAAAATTAAAAATGGAATTACCATATGACCAACAACTCCACAGGTGGGTATATACCCAAAAGAATCGACAGCAGCATCTCTAAGAGATAGTCGTACACTCATCTTCATAGCAGCATTATTCACTCACAGTGTGTTCATCGATGGACGAACGGATAAACAAAATGTGGTATTTACATACAATGGAATATTATTCAGCCTTAAAAAGGACAGAAATTCTGACACATGCTACAATCTGGATGAACTGTGAAGACGCCATACTAAGTCAAATAAGCCAGTCACAAAAATACAAATGCCGTATGATTCCACTTACATAAGTTACCGAGAGTAGTCAAATTCATAGAGACAAAAAGTCGAATGGTGATTTTAAGGGGCTGAGGAGAGGAGGAATGGGGAATTGTTGTTTAGTGGGTATAGGGTTCTAGCTTTGTAAGATGAAATGAGTTCTGGATATTGCCTGTACAGTAATGTGAATGTACTTAATATTATTGTACTGAGAAGAGGAAATTCCCAAGGAACTGTATAAGAAAATTCCCTACAACTGAAAAACACAAATTCCAGGTTGAACGGGCTCATGGAGAACCCAGTGCAGTTCACATAAAAAACTCATACCAAGGCCAGTGATTGTGAAATTCTATTATTCTAAGGATGAAAAGAAGGTCCAAAAACTTTCCGAGAGGACTGAGAGTCACAGGCAAAGGATCAAGAATCACAGTGTCGTCTGTACTCTCCAGAGCAGTGCTGTGCTGTACACATACACCATAGAATCCAGGGTCCAGAAAATTAACACATCCATCACCTCACGTGATGAACATAGTTCACTCTTCTTTGGTCGGGGGGGAGTGATGTTCAATAAGTTTAAATAAAAAGAGAAATGCTTGAAAGTAGAAGACAAGGGATCGAGGCAGAGCTTCAAAAATTCTGAAAGAAACGACTTGCAAACTAGAATTCTATATCCCACCAAAATATACATCAGGTGGGAAGGTGGGATAGAGACATCTGCAGGCATACAAGTTCTCATAATTTTCACTGCTCCTACGTCTTTTCTCAGGAAGTATTGCAAGGTGTGCCCCATCAAAGTTAGAGTATAAACTCGGAGAATATACTTTCCAGAAAAGAGGAAATCTGTCAGAGGAAAGAGGTGCAAGCTTCCATTAGTTTGAACTGGAGCAAGAGGGCAAAGGATTCCAGGGGTGACGTCTCCAGGAAAACAATTGGCATTTATAGAATATCTGATGTGTTTGACTGTGTGGCAAACGGTGTTTAGAGGGATTTTATTTTTTTGGTGTTTGGGACGGCCTACCAAGGTGTCCTAGAAGAGCAATCAAATGAAAAAAGGTAGGAATTAGCTTCTACAAAAAGTTGTATAAGAAAAGTTGTATATGTCATGGCAATTACCTCAGTGGTAATAATCTTTACGTAGCTAGGTGCACGTGTATACAGGGTCATTCAACAATGGTCATGGTGCCATCGCTTGCAACAGTAAGAAACAAGAAGCAGCAAATGTAGTCAATAACATTGTGAAAGATGAAACAAAAATGGCAGGCTAGTCAGATGATAAATACCTTCAACCAGTGAAATGAATGAACTGTGACAGGCAACAAAAGAGACGAATCTCGTCAACCATGTTAAGTGAAAGAAGTCCCAGAAGAATTCATACAAAAACCCATTTAAATAAAATTATTTAACAATTAAACTAACCTAATATTTTTAATAAATATATACATAATTGGCGAAATTAAAAGAGTATGGAAGAGTATGGAGTTGGGGCTGGCCTGGTGGCACAGCAGTTGAGTTTGTACGCTCTGCTTTGGCAGCGTGGGGTTCGCTGGGTCAGATCCTGGGTGCAGAGCTGCACACTGATCATGAAGCCATGCTGTGGCAGCATCTTACATACAAAATAGAGGAAGTTTGGCACAGATGCTGGCTCAGGGATAATCTTCCTCAAGCAAAAAGAGGAAGATTGGCAACAGATGTTATCTCAGGGCCAATCTTCCTAACCGAAAAAAGAAAAGAAAAGAAAAGAGTATAGAGTTGACTAATACCAAACTCTGAATGGCAGATAGAAAATACAACCCAGAAGAGACATGCAGGGGACTTCCATACGAGATGACTATTCCATTTTCTGATCTAGGTGATGGATACGTAAGAAGCTTATTTTAACAGTATTCTTTATTCTGTTCAGATGCACCTTATACATTCTTTTTATGTACAGTATATTCCACAGTTTAAGAAAAAATCTTTTATAATTAAGAATTATAAACATGAATGATAATAGTAACACAGTTACCTGAGACGCAGTTGCCGTCAATTGACTTAAGTCTGTCTGGCTGAGGGTGGCAGTTTCTTCATTTTCAGTAAGGGAAAATAGACTAGATCTTGGAGCCACCCCTTTCTTAATAAAAGATTTTACAAACTGACTAATGGAAAAAAACAAAACAAAACTTCTGTTACCTTAATCTCTTGTTTGAAGTTACCGATAAACAACTGCTATATTTTTATTGAGATATAATTGACATATAATATTATACTAGTTTCAGGTGCACAACATGATTCAACATTTGCATATATTACAAAATGATCACGACAAGTCTAGTCAACATGTTAGCGTTCATCACCACACATCGCTACAACTTTTTTCCTTGTGATGAGAACTTTTAAGAACTACTCTCTTAACGACTTTCAAATATGCAATACAGTGTTATTATCTATAGTCACCATGCTGTACATTACACTCCCAGGACTGACTTATCTTATAACTGCAAGTTTGTACATTTTGATCTCCTTCATCCATTTTGTCCACCTACCCATCCCCTGCCTCTTGCAACCATCAATCTGTTCTCTATATCTGAGTTTTGTTTTGTTTTAGATTCCACATATATGTGAGATCATATGGTATTTGTTTTTCTCTGTCTGATCTATTTCACTTAGCATAATGCCCTCAGGTCCATCCATGTTCACTCAGATGGCAAGATTTCCTTCCTTTTCATGGCTGAATAATATTCCACTGTATATTAAGTAGCTGCAGTATTGTCAACAATAGGAAGTTCTGATTTAGTTCATTTTATCATTCTCATTTTTTACAATCCGCAATGATTTTTTGCTTCTTGTTAAAAACGTTGAATTGCTTTCCATTTTACTGAAGAAATATTCTCTGTCAGTCAGTGCATTGGTGTAGAAAATTCCTGGACACTGTTTACTTTAAAGCTATGGTCATCATCTTCGGATATTGGGAATTTGACAACATTTAGAATTGATTTAGCTAAATATCAGAGAAATGTATCAGTGAAATAGGACTCCAAGTCAAAAATTTAATTATGAGCCTTGAGTGCTTAAGTTTATAACTGAGACATTCCTACTAGCTACCCAAGCATACAGTATTTCCTTCCAAGTAATTGCTGATGTGACCCAAATCGCCATTCCCTTAGCTAGACATTTATAGGGGCAATAAAAAGGCATTTGTTATAGTATATATCTTTTTGGTAAGTGTGTTTCAAAGATAAAATTAAATTTCATGTATACAGATTTCCTAAACTTTCAGATTTTTCCTTGCTGGAGTTCACACAACTTAATTCACCTCAAGCTAAACCTCTCTGATTTACCTGAAACTGCCACTAGAGGGCAGCACAAACACATTTGTGACGCTCTGATTCTCCCAAACCAGACCGGGAGCGGAGACCGGGCAAATGCGGCCTGTAGGGACAGTGGCAGCGCTCTGAAGAAAGGCAGCTGCGATAGCAGTCACTTTCAAGGGCTCGCCAGGAAAAGGGCTCGCGCTTATGCTGACCGGAGAACTCTGACTGTACAGCAAAGGGCGACAAGGGATGTGTCTTTCACACGGACAGGGTGAAATGCCATTCACCTATCTTTGCTTTGGGCTGTGCCAGATAGAATGAGTATCCTCGGGAATTCACAACAGAGCCAACCAGTGAAGAGACTAGTTGGATCCAATCAAATATTGGAGTCACCTGGATCTGGGTTACAGAATTCCATCCACTTTAATCAAGGAATAAAGCTGAAAGGGGCATCAGGCAATCAAGAAAGAGAGTAACCCCGAGAGTTCAGGTCATGAGACCAAACCATTTGTGGTCCCTGTTGGTGTAGAGATTCTGGAAGTCTGAGTGTGGCATTCTGAGCCACAAGAAAGTTTGTCCCGGCGGCCCGCAGCTCCGGTTCTTATGACCCACAAAGTCTCTGATTCGCACGCAATCTCCATCAGTTGACAGATAATCAAAAATTAATCAGAATGGTAAAATCATCATCTTAGTGGGTAGCATTAAGTACAAAATTAATTAGAAAAATTATGAGGCGTTAACATTTTTATGTGAGGTTTAGGAAAATTCTGCGTATATGTGGTACTTTGCATTTTTAATATATGAAAGAATTTAGCATGTTACATAATCCAACAAATTAGGCTTTCAAATATATATCTTAATATTTAATTCTAGCTTTATTGTTAAATTAAAAGGGATAAGAAAATTTTGGTTTGTAACAACTGATAGTATTATAGGAAAAATTAAGGTTCTCAAAATAAATGATTTTGATTATTTGAACTTTTATGATGATTTAAATACTTGGAAAGATTTTATTTGCTGTGATTTTTGGCTTTTAAAGTACTTACATTTTGCTAACTAAATTTATTTAAAACTTTCATGGAAGTTGATAGATTTATGTATAAGATAAGATTTCTTATAAGTTAAAATGAAAGTTTGAGGAAAACTGGATTTACAATTTTATAACAGTAACAAACTTTTCAAGCCAAAGTAGCAGTAAATTGTCTTTTCTGTTTATGAAGCTGTCCCTCACGGCTGGACACTTCTAACGGCCACCGTCCGTCTCCCGGCGCTGCCTACGGTGTCTCCTCCAACACTTTTCAGTGTCCAATCGATGCAGAGAAATGACAAGAGCCTTAAAGGGAGAAGATTTGAAGACTCTCCCTAATGTCTTCTACTTCGACAGAGGCCATTAAATGTAAATTAACCGGCTGTGATGTCAAGAGGCTTTAAAAGTGGCACAGTCCAATGGGCAGACTTCTGATCGAAATTTTGACTGCTTTTCTTCATCAGCTTATATGCTTATATTCCTCTCATAGATTTTGATATATCTAAGAGAAGACTAAACCATACCTAACGGCTGTTGTATGTGTGACCTATGACATAGGCCATCCGAAAATTTTAATAAAGTTTTATTGAAATTTAAAATACATTCAAAAAGGACACAAATCATAAATGTAAAATGATGAAAAATCACCAAATAAACATGGCCATATTACCATTATTCAGATCAAAGGATAGTAATATGACCAGCACCCAGCAAGCCCTGCCAGATGCACCCCCCCCATCATGGCCCATACTCCTCACCACAGATAACTACTGTCGTGACTTCCCACACCATATTTTGCCTTCTGTTTTTGTTTTCTTAGTGTATATTAATAGAATAATTAAAAACAAACCATGTACTGTCTTTTTTCTTTTAGGAAGATTAGCCCTAAGCTAACATCTGCTGCCAATCCTCCTCTTTTTGCTGAGGAAGACTGGCCCTGAGCTAACATCCGTGCCCATCTTCCTCTACTTTATATGTGAGATGCTTACCACAGCATGGCATGCCAAGCCGTGCCATGTCCACACCCGGGATCCCAACCAGCAAACCCCAGGCCATGGAAGCGGAATGTGTGCACTTAGCCACTGCACCACTGGGCCGGCCCCCAAACCACGTACTTTTTAAACCAGATTTCTTTGGTCTATTTTCTTGTGTGAGAGTCATCCATGTTATTTTGGCAGCAGGATTTCTTTCACTTTATATCACTATCTTATTACATTACATTTATCTCTGGTTTTACTAGGCTGTAACTATCCGGTCCCCTTCACAGCAGCTGGTTGCAAAGTTTGTCCTCAGGTAAAGCTTCCATTGAGGGCTGAAGTGCAGCTTTAAATTGGGAGATGACGCGTGGGTGATGGAGGAAGAGGGGCAGGGTAGGACCTCAAACCCTTCCCCCAGGAAGAGGAAGAGCCATGACATCCAACAGGAGAGTGACCTGCATCACAGCTGCCGGCAAGCTCTCCCGCCTCCCGCACATCGCTGACATCAGGACTCCCGTATTCAGGGCTCTAATCATTTCTGCAGAATAGGTTCTTTGAGGGTTTTACAACCATGGAATTTGGGACATACCTTTGTAATGCCAACGATTACATTTTATTGTAATTATTTACTTAGATATCCAGCTTCCCCCAGAAGCTGATATCGATGTGGGGCAAGACAAGTGTGTTATCTTTCTACCTTCGAGTGAAATAGACTGCCCTGTTGTGTTAGTCCTCTGGGGCTGCCCCAACAAGATGCCATGGGCTGGGTGGCGTAAGCATCAGCACTTTTTCCCTCACCGTTCTGGAAGCTGGAAGTCCGAGATCACAGTGCCAGCGTGGTCAGTGTCCATGAGGACTGTTCCTGGCTTGCAGACAGCTGCTGTCTCACTGTGTCCTCACGTGGCCTTTCCTCAGTACATGGAGAGAGAGAGCACTCTGGTCTCCTCTTCTGAGGACACTAAGCTTACGACCTCATTCAACCGCACTCACTTCCTTAGAGGCCCCATCTCCAGATACAGCCACACTGGTGTTAAGGCTTCACAGATGAATTTTAAGGGGACACATTCAGCCCATAACAATCACATACAAAAGGTGGCTAGAAAAGGTTTGTTGAATAAGTGGATTGGTGAAATCATAACCTGTACCAGATCAAGGAAATATCCTGTAGTATGTTTTATACATATATTTGGCCTTTTTCTTAAATGAAAATTCTTCAAAATGCCCCCATTAGTCTGTTCTTTTTAACCACGCAAGTCACAAAATACTTCTTTTGAGAGCAAGATGCATTTGTGGGAAAGAACGCTATGTACTTACGTTTCTGTTGGAATTGGAAACGGAGTCATTCTATAATTCAAAAACGGACTTGAAATCTCAAGAAACTGCTCAGGCTTCTTTATTACCAATTCTGAAAAGAAACAGGCAGTGTGATGTACTTTTACAAAAATCTTCCAAGATTACACGCCGAACTTAACATTTAATGCAGTTCTCATTAGATTACTATTTACCCAGCAAATTTCAATAGAGTTAAATAGGAACGTACTAGGATACATATGGTTTTTTTAATTGAAAAAGCTTGATAGATTCGGCCACTCTTAGATTTCTTTAATCTCCTCAGCTGCTTTCCACATTGACAACATGAAACAATGAAGTCTCGATGAAGAAAGTCAGCAATGTCTTCAGGAGTTACTGCTCGGCATTTGCTGCTGTTTCAAGTACAGGATTGAATTTCTATACAAGTCTTTTACTAAGACATGTGTTCTCTTAGTTAACCTCTACCCCACATTGCTCAGGACATGAAGAGGAAATGTGGACAAAGGCATGAGATGGCAGTGGGAGAACAGAACAGGCAACAAAGTCAAGCTCATGAGTAGAAAAGAAAGCAGGTCAAGAAAGGATCTGTGGGCACTCCTGAAGGAGTCTGAAGCTGACCTAGCAGTGAGAAATTCTCAGTGGATGTGGGACACAACCCATGCACTAACATGGCGAACACTGAAATTAAACATTAGGGATGATCATTTCAGCAAAAACTCCTGCGACGGCGGAAAGGATGCCCATTGGAGGAAAAAAAGTGAGGCTCTGACACAGTGCATGTGACTTTTCTGTGCTTGTTCCGTGGCAATCTCTAAATTGATCTTCTATTAATTTTCACTTTACTAAACCCAATAGAGAGAAGAAAGACAACTATGGGGTGAGCCTCGAGGTGGGGCACTGAAATCAGGGAATCCCGCCAATCCTTAGGTTTTCTTCCCCAGCTGACGAAAGCAGTCACTTACATATAATTACACGCCAATCAGCAGCCAAATCAGGAAATAGCTGTATGTTCAATACGTTTTCTTTCATTCAGCCCCTCCTTGGTGCTCTGAATGAACAAGTGTTTTAAGCGTAGCTCTATGCATTTAACTAAAATGTAGTGTTTAAAAGTACGGTCATGCATTGCTTCATGGTGGGGATACATTTTGAGAAACGCATTGTTAGGCAACTTTGTCATTGTGTGAACACCATAGAGGGTACCTACACAAACCTAGATGGTGTAGCTTACTACACACCTAGGCTATATGAAACTAATCTTATGGGACCACTGTCGTATATGCGGTCCATCATTGACCAAAACATCATTATGGGGCACAGGACTGTAAAAGATTTTATTTCCTTTCAGCATCATATCACACTCTCTTGGCACCAACAGCCCACTGCAGAAACTCAAGGGATGTAAATAAATGACTAAAATAATGGGGCAGGAAGGAGAAGGTCAGAGAGGTCTCAACAAAAAATGAATTGATCATTTCTCCTCTCCATCCAAAGCAGACATTTCTTTCATCTTTGTTCTTTTCTGGCAAGGAGAAAGCATGTTGTGCTAGAGAAGTCTTTGCTGCCAGCTGTACTGGCTGCACCAGTGTAGGCAGAAAGAAAATGTGAGAAAAATGACACGGTTAACAGTTGTTATTTATATTTTTAAAATGTGGAAATTGTGGCTGGAAGTAGGAGGCAAGGAACAGGTATGTATTCCGATCGATGTGGTTATCTCTGTTTAGGATCCTAAGGACCACTGGGACTTATGTATTACCCTGTAACTGAGATATGGTGCTCTTGTCACCTGCAATGAAGGATCAACAATACTTAAATTGGTAGTAGGGACAGCAGCAAGCACCACAAATAGGGGCACAAGCCATGGTGCATGGGACCAAATACTTAAGCATATTTATAAGCTTCAGAGTGACTGCCTGCAGGAAACTAGCATGAGGGATGCTCACTGTGGCTTTGCCTTCATTGTTCATTCAAGTGACAGGCTGTGAGCACAGCCCCAATGCAATAACCTCTAGAATGCACTGTACTGTTTCTGGATGAATACAATTAGAAAATAATGAGATATTAGCAAAGACAGAGGTAAAAATGCAAAAGCAATGAAATGAACACAAAAAAATTACAAAATAGCTTTTGTTATTATTAAACATAATTTAAGCTTTTTAGAATGAGATATATATATATTTATATTATATACATATGCAGACACCTACATACGTATATATAATCCATAGCACACCAATTCTCTATTATCCTTCATTAAAAACTGCAAGTACCAAATTAGCTACGGAAAGGATATACATATGTTGAATAAACATAAATTATGAGTTGTTCTGCTAGGCTGAAATTTTTTAATTATTAGTGTTTTTTTTAATCCTCTCTTCTCATGTTCGCGATTCTGCTTTAAGATTGACTTTTCATGTATTGTCTCACTCATCTCTTCTCTTGCCATCTTGGTCTGTCTTCCACCCAAACTTTTGCTCATGGGAAAAGGAGTAAGAATGAAGACTTGTAGAGAAAAAGATCGAAGGAGTGAAGAATTAGACACGGACGGTGAGGAATTTAGAAATGAACTGTGAGAATAAAAATAAGGCCTGAACAGTCCCACGGCCCCACTCTCAGCCAGCGGGAGCCTGTTTATTTCTGAGGACAACTGCCACTCCTTGTGGCTATGTGACAATATTAACACAGGAGCCAATCCAGGGCAGAAGTTCAACTCCCAAAGGAGTTCTAAGTAGAAATCAGTGAATTCAAAGATCATGTCCTGCGGGGTACCCTAGAGTGATTACCACAGTAGAAATTCACTCCAGTGGCTCAACGTGTGCTATTCAAGTTTCTATAGTATTTGCTACAAACCACCTTTTTGTCACAATAACAATAAAAAACCATCACCCAAAGAATGTCCTCGATACGTCCAGGTCAGCTTAGATGTGAATCAAACTTCTGAGAAGTGGAGAATTAATCTCGAAAGACATAAAATTCGGACATAAACTGAAATGCGGGCTGTAGGTGTGACGTTGAGTGTTTTGCCTTGAGCCTTATCTTTCTTTACAAACGGAGCTATCAGCCCTTTGTAGGGAGAAATGTTAATTAGAAAGCTTCTCAGATGACACGAGAGCAGTTACCTTGAGGCTCATCTGTTATGACCCTTTCTTTTTTCTGACGGAAGAGTTTCCAGGGAGGGACAAGAGGTGACTTTGGTGGTGCTATTAGCGGGCAAGACCTGGTTCTGGTCACCAGCACAGGGTGGCTACAGATGTGGGAAAGCCCGTACTCTCTCAGCTTCTCCGCAGAATCGGCCTAAAAGGTGCAAGATACATTTAAAAGGATTCTTGCAATTGCTTCATGCATTTAAAATAATACTTTTTGTCATTATAAAAATCCTATCACCACTGTAGACATATAGGAGTACTAAAAAATAAATAACAACCCATATTCCCACCTTCCTTAACATAAGCACTATTAACATTGCATTTCTTTCCATCTTTTCATTTTTCTTTTAATTTTTTCATTTGCCTATTTACAAAATGAGAACCTAGAAAGAGAAGGCACTTTTTAGGTCTAAATGTTTAAGATTCTATGAGATTGCAAAAATATTAGTGTATCAGTTTTGGTCCAAAGTTAATCGACCTTTATTTTTATAGGTTAAAGCTTTGATACAGGAGCTTAACATGTAAAGTTGTTTTTTTTCCTTTCCTTTTCTTTTTCTTTTTTGAATCACTAGCAATTGCTACACAGTGTTCAGAAAAATCCACTGCACTCTGTATGTCAGGTCAAGGAGGAGGTAAGTGGCTGCCTTGAGTACAGTTTCTGCCCTCCCTTCCAACCAGCCGCTCCCCACAGGAAATCCCCATGATCTGATCGCTCCTGACAATGGGGGCATTCACAGAGGACAGAGGACAGAGGCTGCCCTGTGTCCTGCCAAACCAAGTCGTTTCCCAGGCAGATGCTTCCCATGTTGCACTGTTCAGATCTCCTGAAGCCACTTGGCTTTGGAACAACTCAGAATAGTATCTAAGCAGAACTTCAGTTACTGATTGATGGCTGAAATGTGCCAGGAGAAACCAAAAAGCATATGAAAGTTAAAGTAATATATACTGCAGTCAAATTTTGATGTTCATAGTCTAAATGTTGAAACGTTTAAAGTAAAATAAAACATTAACTACACGAAAGTCAGTTTTGCCAACAACTATTTTTCTTCCTAGTGATTTTGCATCATTGATTTCTATTCGAATAGCAACGCTTGAAAATGTAAATGTATAAAGCCATTATTTAAATTAGGACTGGGAATCCACTTATCAGCCTCTTCCAAATTATTGCTCAGCTAGAACACGCCTTGCTCTTGTGACCATTCCTCCATTGCTCACGCTGTGCTTCTGGGAGGCAGAAAAGAGGGGAGGCATCCGTGAGATGCGACAGTTCTTCCTGAATCCGGGGATTAATTAATGATTGCAACAATTCATTAATAACTAGAAGAAGGAGTTAATCAGTGCACCACTGAGTCCAGAAGAGCCATTTAAAAGTGTTATACATAGGAAAAATAAAGAGAAAAGTGATTCAATGTTTCTTTCAAAGAGGTCTAATTAAAAAGCAGAGAAAATTGTCACATACTTTTTTTATCCCTTTTGTGAATGTTAGCAATTTACTGAAAAAATTCAGAAACCTCTGGAATTATGCCTTTTTTTTATAGGTATTTTAAAATCTAACCCTTTTCCCACAACTTGCACTCTGTCGAATTCTAGAAGTTTCCCAACATTTGAAAGTAATCTTTCAATGGGAATTTATGGGAGAATTTACTGATATTATTCAATCAGACAATGTCTCAGTCTCGTAATAAAGAGAGTACATTACTGTCAAATTGTCACTTAAAAAATATCCGAAATAGAAATCATGTCCAGAGTAATATTTATAAATTGAATCATTTCCAGCTAGTTTACTACACCTGAAATTTGGTCTACATATCTCAACTCCTTCTTACAATGCAACCAAAGTTGTAGTCTATTCCCTTTCTTTTTTAAGCTGTAGCGCATTGGAAAACAAAACAACCTAAAGCATTTTGAAATTGTAAGGCATTGGCTCAAATAATTAAGTATGGTATTAGCACTTACTGTATTGTTTAGATAATCTGCAAAAGTACTAATTTGATTTAAGGTATATACGCCAACTTCTCATACATTTTATTTCCAACATACTACATAATACTTCTGAATGCTGTGAAGTAATGCTATTCATAACAGTTATAGTTTGATACTGAGAACTTTGTTAAAGGATCTCAGATTTCCCTAGATTAGAGTTAGAGGCAGAGAGAGTTTGAGAATAGGAAAACATTCTGGTGAAATACTAGCCGGCACTCAAGAAAAATGTTTGAATAATTCATGTGTCAGACATAAATTAGAAGTTTCCTTACACAAGATTCTTTTACTTCTTTATCCCATCCCACCTTAAATATTCTAGAAGTGGGGCTTTGAGCAAGTGAGAGGGCTTTCTTAGAACTCCCAGATCACCCATGAAATGAATCTAAAACCATTTAGAATGTCCAATAGCAAGAGGATGGGGGATAACGTGGGGTAATTCATGACACCTTATTTCTTCCCAAGTATTGTTGCTTTTCTTGTAGTCTTTACCAACTCTTTAATGCTAAGTATTGGCTTTACTTTATATGTTGGTCTCATTGTCTTTGGGGCTATAATTTTTAGAAATGTTCTCTATTTAACAAAATCCCATTAGAACAGAATTTTTTTCTATTGATTTATATTTAAAACATTATATCTCCATTATATTGCAATTTTTACCAGGAGAACTGGAACATCCTAACAGCTAATGTAAAAGAATCAACAGGCAAGTTAGGGAAACCGTGAGACTATAGTCAGTTCATTACAGCCTTGAGGTTCATTTAATTACTGTTACAGACACTCGCTAATTCCTGGGCCCCTTAAGCCATTTTCAACCCCCACAGGGAGGATTTATAATACTCTTTATGACCTGACTCCCTCCCATATCTCAAGCTGCCTCTAAGACTTCTCCCCTTGCAATCTACTCAGCCTCCAGCAGTTCCCTGAACCCAGAGAGTTCTCCACCTCCAGACTTTTCCAACGTAAGCTTCCCTCTGCTTTCGAGCACAATTTTTCCCATTTACTAGGCTAACTTCTTAAAGCCATAGCTTACACAGTTCTTCCTTTGGGAAGACTTCCCTAGTCAACCATTGGACAGAAAGATGTGTTTCTGCTATGTGTGTCCCATATTCATTTTTCCACTCATTCATTCATTTGTTCACTCATCAAACACACAGTATTTGAACGCTACATCTACCATGTTCCAGGCACCTTGCATGCCCTCTGTTATAGCAATTTTCTAACTTTATTACTGTTGCTTGTCTACCTTCCTCAATGGACTTGAACTTTGTGGGGTAGGACCATGTTAATCTTACTCATCATGGTATCCTCAGAGCAGAACTCATTGTTTAGCACATAATAGGTAATCAATCAATCAACATCTGTTGAATTAATAAATAAGCATGTGAGTTTTTTCAACTTTTAAATTCAAAATTAATTTTGCGTTTAAACGTTAGTTTTTAAGTAGGGCAGTCAAAAGATCAAATAGATTATCTTGCACTCTTTTTTCTGTAATGCATTCATCCCATCCTTATATTTTGTAGTTTTAAAAAGTGTGTCAGTACTTCCCCTACATGAGACCATGGCACTCCACGAAGCATGGCTCGTGTCATTTTACAGTCCACAGTGTGGGAGCATTCAGTCTCTCTGGAAGATTTAAGACAGCACCTAGGCCACTGCCATGTAAAGAGTTTAAGAAACAACAACAACGAAAACCAAGGCTGAGATGGGCAGCTTGAATCTTCACGAGAGACTCAAGTTGGACATGGAGGCCTCAGAAGCACACTTATATTCAATCATGACTAAAAATAATTAACTTCAAATTAAAACAGAGAAATTGCCACTATCTCTACATTCATAATGTCTTAACAGTATTACCCCTGTTATATGCCAGACGTCTGCAGGAAAGAATGCTTTCTATCTAAAAAGGAAGAAGGAGGAAGAGAAGGAGAAAGAAGAGGGCGAGAGGGAGAAGGAAGATGGAATGACAACATTATGCCCCTTGGTTAAATCATCTCGATGACAAATGTAACGTACATAGTAAAGCGCAATAATCATTCCGTTGGGGTATTTACATCTCAACCAAATTTCCATTGAACTCAACTGTTTCTAACTAACCAAATGAACATTTGTATATATAAATATATCATTGAACCATCTAATCTTCTTATAATTTAATGTAGTGATTGCATAACATATGGAATTCTATAAAAAAGTGCTAGATGTCTAAAAGTCCCCCAAAGGGTTAGGATTCAATAAGTTCCAAATGCAATAGGGCATTTGTCTAAGTAGATTGAAGAGTAATCTTTCAATTTCAAACATGGGCTTTGCCCTTTATAAGAGAAGTGGAAAAATTTCAAAAATGGCCTTTGCCCTTTATAAGAGAAGGAAAAAAATTATTTTTATGTCCAAGAACAAAAGATAACTTTAAAAAGGATGGGAAACTCATGCATCACATGCAACTACTAAATATTATGTTGCCAAATATTTAACATCATAGACGAATGTCACTGATACAGTGTCAAGTGAAAAAACTTGTTTCCAAATAGAATATGAAATTGAATTCCAAAGTGTAAAAAAGTGTGTATTTATGTACACACACACACACAGACACACAGATTATATCTAGAGAATAAAAGACCCAAAGGATATATGCCAAAATGTTAACAGTACCTATGTCTAGGTAATTATACTATGAATATTTTAATTTCATTTCCTTTATCTGTATTTTATAAATTTTCTGTACACTTTTAGACTTATTGGAAAAAATGAATTAACATTTTTTTGGGTGTATTATTTTAAGATACAAGGAAGTTATAGCCATGGTTTACCAGCTCTGGATGTGAGTTCATTTAAATCATCTTATGTAAGAAAATATGTACAATCTGTTTATGGAAAGGTGATTTATTCTTATTTAGAAATGATTTTTACTGAAATATATAATTTATGTATCTTTTATTTTGCTTGTAATGGAAGGAATTGATAAAAATATATGAGACTACATCCTTTTTTTTTTTAGATGGAACTATTGCAATCATCTAAAATAATTTTGGATGTTCTAAGTCCCTGTGTTCCACTGCCTAATTTTAAAGATAACGAGACTGAAATCCAGGAGTAAAATTTTCATTAAATTCTGGTGTACCTTCTATCACAACAAACAATCACACACACACACTGTCAATGATAGGGTTGCCCGGGCTTGAGTGCTCACCATCTTCTCTAAGGAGAAGATCTTCTTTTCAAACAAATAGAGAGGTGTAAAGGTAGCATACACAACCATGTGAGGGGCCTGCATTCCTGAAGAACCTGTAAAAACAAACATACGTTGTGTCATGGGAATTCTAGCCAAGATGGCTCTGTCGGTGCGTCATCCCAGACGGTTCAAAGTCCTTCATGAATTTATCGTTGCTGCCGAAACTCAGGTAAATGACTCTAAATGTATTTAATAAATGTTAAATCTCAAATGTGCACCTATTTCATAGAATGTCTCACTATACGATATTCATAATCGTGCCATTAATTGCTTAAGAAATCATTTTACTTCACTGTAAAAATGTTACCACATAAACTCACTAGCTATCAGTCAATGTAACTTAGAATGGTCTATAAATGACTGCGTTAAAAGGAATAATTTTAAAACTGAGACATTCTGGGGGCTGGCCCCGTGGCCGAGTGGTTAAGTTCGCGTGCTCCGCTGCAGGCAGCCCAGTGTTTCGTTGGTTCGAATCCTGGGCGTGGACATGGCACTGCTCATCAAACCACGCTGAGGCAGTGTCCCACATGCCACAACTAGAAGGACCCACAGCGAAGAATGTACAACTATGTACCGGGGGGCTTTGGGGAGAAAAAGGAAAAAAATAAAATCTTAAAAAACAAAAACAAAACAAACTGAGACATTCTTTAGCTTTCATAGGTATAATCTTTATTTTGAATTTAAATAAATCCAGGAGTTTCTATATTATTTCAAAGAGAAAGAAAACATAAATAAATGAGTCCTTCCATGAAGAAGGGAAAGATAGTAACTTTGGAATGTTTAATGTTTGTAGAATTTGCTTCTGAGCATCCCTTATTTATTTACGTGTTCCTTAACTCCCTGACATTATGATATTTGATTCAGCATGCTTTCGCTCTTTAAAGATTCTGGCCAAAATAAAAGAATTTATTTTCCTTTATTGTCTTTATTATTAATTAAATTTTTGTTTTATTCCTTTACAAATTCAAGCACTTATATTTACCTCTATTAGATAATATATTTATTGCAGAATAATACCTTTAGAGCTGCAAAATATAAATTTGATATGAGCCTGGGATCTCTCTAGAATGGAATAAGATGTGAAATATGCCAAACTTATAAAAATATATTTTTACATTTAAAACTTAAACTTTGTATATTTTTCTTGGAGCAGCGATCTGAACCCAGGCAGTTTTACTCCACAGCCCAAACTCTAAACCACATTCTGTATCTTGAAGTTAACCATAACTGAGTTTGGTAGAAAAAAAGGCACTGTTACCTTTTTTTGTTTTTACAAAGAAAGGAACTCAAGAGAAAGGTTTAGTTTCACAAAGAAGATTAAATATGAGGAATTTTGGGAATGTTATGTCATCCACTATCAAAAAAGATCGCTTAAGGCATCAACACAAGAAAACAAGTTTTAATATAGAAGTAAAAATACGACTAGTAACTCCTTTCTCTACCAACCCACCAGACATGTTTCCATAAAAATAAAAAGACATAATTCTTAAAATGTCCTCACAAAAACATAATAATGTATTAAGAAAGAAGACAAAATAAAAAAACCCCAACTAGATAGAGCATAGTGCTGGAGGTAAATGGATGTACTTTCAACCATGTAATGAAGGATGAGCTGAGAATGATACCTACACTCTGGAAGCACCAAGATAGATGACCTGATATGAGGAATATAAAGTCTTCGAAAAGGATTTTATATATGTGTATATATATATATGTTATGTAAATATATAATTTACTCATATAGAGGGGGACATACTAATATATGTTTATACTAATATATAATTACATTTATATATTCATGTAATCTATATTAATATTTATGTATATTATATATAACATATAGCATAAAATGCATTTTATGAAATACATATTTTATATATTATAATACATTCTATATGGTATATCTTATATATAGCTTACTAATATCTAACATACATATTCATTAGTATATGCCCTCCTTCCTGTAAACACTTCTCCTGTGACGGTTGTACCATAAGAAGTTGGCCAACCTTGGCTTCTGTCTCACATGTGGGCTCTTGCCCCAATAGGCAGACCCATCTGAGGGCCTCACAATTGTGGGCAACCTTGGACGAGCTTATTTAGATATGTCTAAACAGAAAACACATTTCTATGCTCCAGAGTTTTCCAACATTTTAGGCAAGAGCTAGAGAGCTACTGTTGGAGGAGGCTGAGAGCTTACAGTCTGACAGAGACAGCAGAGAGTGCTGGACGTCTGACGAGGGCCGGGAGCCGTGCAGCGACCATTTGAATTTGTCCTTTTCCTTTTCCTTTTCTCCATCTTTACTCCGCTTCTTCCCAAGGTCTTTCGCATCTGCTTTCTCTAACACATTAAAAAAATGTAATCTTTTAGCTACAAAACCTCAAACTATATTTCTTATTCAGTTGCTGTGTTGAAGAAAAGGTCAAAACAATAATGTTATTTAAATGTAAAACAATTGACACAAATTTCCCAAAACACTACTCATCTCCAGTTAGAAACGTTAAAATAAAGCAAGAGAAAACTTTGAAAATTGACATGTGTTGTGAAAGACAGGCAGCATTATTTATTATTGATTACACATATTTTTATGGTAAATGGAGATGATCATTTAAATATAATTTATTTACCTAAAATTATAGTGTCAGGCTAATTTTCTCATCTTAAAAAGAAAAAGCAAAGCACGTACTTAAAGTCAAGTCCTAAATGTGAAGCCCTCTCAGATGGTCCTTATTTGGAGCCTCCATCTCAAGGAAGTACAACTTTCTGTCTCCAGGAGGTCTTCCGGTGCAGCCTAGATGCCAACCAACATCCACAAACCAACATCTTCTTGCCAACATGACTTGTGTAGTAAAATTCTGCACCATTTGAATTTCTATTCATATTTACATTTCTATGAAACATGTCGCCTTCAACTCAAAAAAAAAAAAAATCCTCCAAGATTTTTTATTCCCTAACAAGGTCCTTCCAATTCTGAAACAGAAATTTCAGATTGCTGCCATTTCGTTCTCTCATCTTCTGCTAAATTTGTAATTGCCATTGGTCAGGTTGTTCGTCTTTTAAAAACTTGTATAAATAAATACTATGACATTAACACCTGGTAATGTTCCTTAGCTTCTAAAGTAAACCTGTCTATATCTTAGCTTTTACAGTAGATTTAACATCAAGGTTAGATACAAAAGTGAAGATAACTGTCACTTAAATCATAAGATGAGACATTTAACTGGGAAACTAAGATTTAGAAAATAGGTTATCAGAATTTCATTTTGTAGGTTTTCCACACATATTTGACAACTCAATAAAATTAATTTTGGCTCACAATATATGATTTCATGTATGATTTTAAAATAAGACTATAAAATCCTTCAACCTCCTATTCAGAATTCAGAATTTAGAAATAAAATAATACATAGTAAAAATTATAAATAGAAAAAATACACTATTTCACATAGAAATTTGGATAGTATGCAACAACGTTTACAAAAATGTGTTTTCGCCAATGCCCTAAATAAATGTGTCCCTCCTCTGTCATTTCATCCCACCCATCTAGCAAACCCCACTCTGAATAAAGTTAGCAGCTGAGTCCTACAGCAGACAGCCTCCCCTTAGTTCGGCAAACCTCTGCCATATGTATTTTATATCACCATGAGAACCTTCGTCTTCCACCTCCACCTCACTCTCAGTTCCAAGATAGGCTGCCGATGAAGAGAGAAAAATAGAAGCCTTTTGTCAGAACCCCTCAGCTTCTCCCTAACAAACCTGTTCGCCCACTGGCATTTGCGTCTGTCCCCCTCCATGCCCGGGGCCCACCAGGGTGAATGAAGAGACTGTGGCTCCCCTGGGTTGGTCCAGTCCCTCCCTCTGGGCTCTCTTAATGCTGCTCTTCCTGCCTTCTCAGGAAGCTTACACTATTGCTGTCATCTCAACCGAATTCTCTCAATCTTCTCTTAAAAATACTCAGTTCCCCCCCAATACATGAAAAATATTAATATCCTGTATGAGTCCACATAGTCCGTCTCAGCTTCCACTTTGTAGTCTCCTGTTCTTCACAAACTTCTAACAGGGTTGTTTGTACATTATTTTGCGCTCCACTTACTTCTTACCCCTCTCCAATACGTCTTCCACTCCCACCTTCCACCATTGCCCAAGGACCTCAACATCACAAAATCCAACAGAGAATTTTGAGTTCTCATCATATTTCAACTCTTACTATTTGACACAGACTATCTCTCTGCTTCTTGAAACATTCTTTTCCTTTGACTTCAACAGCAACGTGCTCTGCTGGTTTTCTTCCTGCTTCTCTGGCCATCCCTCAGCCTCCTCTGCCAGCTCATCATTTTGTACCTAGCTCTCAGATGTTTAGCTTTCAGGCTCAGTCGGAAGCTTCCTAATTTTCTCACTCTATGCTGTCTTCTTGGGGATATCATCCTTAGTTGAATTTAGCATGTATTTCTCGATGATTCCCAAAGGTATATCACCGGCCTAGAACTTCTGACATGAAAAGTCCACCTGATTTTCTTAAAAGGCACCTCAAATTCAATGTGCTCAAAATCATTTTGTAGTCTCTCCTCATAAAGTCATTCCTCTTTTAGTCTTTCTCATCTCAGTTAAAGGTATCACATTTTTTACTTTTCAAATATTTTTCAAATCGTTCACCTTATCTGCTTCTCCACTCTGACTACCTTACTTCCCTGCTCCAAGCTACCATCGTCTCTGACGTGAGCTGATGCGACAGTCTCCAAACTGCTTTTTCCATATCCACTCACGTAACTGAGCCCTGAAAGGTCCCTGTCGCCACCCCCACCCCAAAGTCTTGTCTTCTCAGAAAACCAGAATATTCTTTGAAAATGTGAATCAGATCATGACTCTACTCTAAACTCTTCATTAGCTGTCAATTGCTCTTATGATAAAGATCAACAATCTTAACATGACCTAGAAGAGTTGATATGATCACTCTCCTACCTACTTCTCCACGTTCTTCTCAAACTACTGTATTCCTCACATCCTCTTCTCCAGTTAAACACATCTTCTACCATTGGTCATTCCTCCTACTGCCCATGACCTTTATATCTGCTGTTCCCTCTACTTGGAATGCTCTTCCTTCCACGCTCCCTCATCTTCCTCTAGACAGCCCTCTCTTCTTTGCAAACACAGCTCAAAATTCCTTAGGGAATTCTTCCCTGATGTCCCAGACTAGATCCCCCATATGAACTCCCATAGTTTCATATATTTCCCTTCAAGGCTCATGTCTTAGTATATGATTATGTTTTTTAAATTAATGTTAGACTCTCTCACTAGACAATAAGCTCTAGGAATTGAGTTCCACATCTGATTTTGTTTACCAAATTATCACTAATTCCTGGAACATTTACTAAGGTATTCTACTAAGCAAGTAGTATATTTGAATGGATGGATGGATTGATGGATAGATGGATGTTAACTTCTGATACATGAGAAAAGGCTTCTAGGTTCAAATTAATTCAGATATACTGGATAAAAAAATTGATTAGGCTTCTTTTTATTTGCTTTCTTTCATAAATTAATTCATGTTAGGTCATTTCAAAAAGGGCCTATAATAGGCACATATCACTCACACACTTGATCTTGGTGTATTTTTGAGGAATATTTACAGTAATAATTTATGTACAATATACTATGGGCAATGCTGGTAGACAAGACCTTGATAAAGAATAATTCAGACAGAATATCAATTTTTTATAAAACAAATGTTCGAAAGATCGTTATAGATGTTATCAAAGTATACAAAAAGTCTTGGTATTTTCTAGTATATTTAATTCTATTTACTGTACCAGCATTATTGTTCACATGCACAGCTACATGAAATACTTTAGAAAATATAAATTAAATAATTACTCAATATATTTCCCATTTTAAAAAGAGAAATAATCTTACACTCAGTAAAATAACTTGAAATTGTATTTTTCAAATTTGTACTTCTACCTTACAATAAATGGCTAGCAAATCATAATCTAATCTGTGTCCATTTCACATTTCTTGAAAAAAATGGTATAACCTTTCTCCTCTGCTATTTTGGTCCATTCCACTCTACATATAAGAAAGATGTGATTGATGGAAATTGAAAACTTAATGTCTCTTTCTATGTTAATACTATATAAATTTAGTACCATCAAAATATATAATTGCCTTTGATTTTTAAAGGCAGTAAAATATGGAATATAATTAACATATAGTAAACACTATTATGAATTCTAAAATCTTAGAAAGGAAGGATCTAAACCATTTTCACAACACCTAATAAATGATAATGAAAATAAAGAATCATTAAATTCAGAAATGATTGTAAAGTGTTTATATACAATATCCGTATTGAATAACATTGTGATATAAAATGTCTTACCCTTTGGAATTTTGTCACTTTTTTCAGGTGTCTTTAGTGTTGTCACTGAGCTTTCAGGTTTGAATTCTTTGCCATCTTTCACTTCCTTCGCTGGTTCTTTTAATTTGGTATCTACCACTGTTATTTTGCTTTCAGAGCTGGACTCATCTGACAGCTTAAATTCAGGCAATATTTCTTTCAAGAGCTCCCAAACTTTGTCCTTATATCCTGGGCTTAGATAAAACACATCAACATTAATTTCCAAATTAAGGTCTTTAGTTCACGTCAAGAAATTACCGACAGAAAAAATCAACTTGCTATTTCACAAGACTAATTTTAATAGTTACTTCAACTTTTAGTTAAAAAACACCCTTATGCATTCATTCATTCAACAAGCTTTGACTGAGTGCCTACTGTGTGCTGGGCTTTGCTATGCGGAGACTAAACATGGAGTTCTAGTTCAAGATGGTGACATAGGAGGATCCTGAACTCATTAATTCCTGTGGACACACCAAATCTACAGCTACATACAATTTCCTCTGAAAAAAAGCAAAACTGGGCTGAGCAACTTCTACACACCTGATGAAAGAGAAACAAACCCACATCAATGCAGGTAAGAGAGGCTAAGACACAATGTTGCCGTAAACGCTGCTCCCAGCACGGTGACACACAGTTGGAGGAAACTCACAACTCTGAGCTTCTCTCTGAAGAGCAAAAGGTTTGACCTCACATCTGGCGCCTCAACTTTTAAGAACGGCATTTGACAGATGAGCCTCCAAAATGTCTAGCTTTGGAAGCCCCTGGAGCTTGCATCCACAAGACCCAGGAGCTATAGCAAACTCAGAAAGAGTTTTCATAAGCCTCGCACAACTCACACACCCCAGGGCCCAGTGCAGAGGCAGCCGACTGAAAAGGATCCAAACTTCCTGAAAGAGGCTTATTTGCTTATCTTAGAACATTGGCCTGAGGGGCTGGTTGCTAATTAAACACACATCTATGGGCCAACAGTAATCCTCTTTAGAGATCTTGGAGGGTGGGCACTATCTTCATGCTCTCCCTCTGCCGTTGTCTGGAGTGCCGGTATTTCCTGGAGGGGAGTAGATATACACATCTGGTGCCCTAAGTTTTACATCTGGCGCCCTGATTTTTGCAGCTGCTGTCCAGGAGATGCCTCTTGATCAAGTGGCTCCGGTGGTCAGTGGAGCTTTCATTCATGGGTCCTGCAGGACAGTTAAACAGCTCTTAACCAGCTACCTGCCCCCACAACAGGCAGAGATGGCAGACTGAAAGGCATTCCTAGACTTTCTGTGAGAGAGGCCTATTAGCTTATCTTCATAGCCATAGCCTGAGGGGCAGACTTCTAATTAAACTCACATCTAGGAGCCAACTACAATCCTCTCTGGTAGGAGCCATTTTTGTGCTCTCCCTTGGTGTCTCCAAGAAAGGAGCTTGTACAAACATCTGGTGCCTCAGGTTTTGTGTTTATGACCCAGAGAACACATCCCTTGCTAGCATGGCTCTGGTGGCCAGTGGGGTTTGAGTTAACTGGTTCAATGGGCTGGTAGCAAAGAAAGACAGTTCTTAATTGGCTATCATCTGAGGTGTTAGAGCAGACAGAAATGCCCATCTCCCACTCTTCCTCTGACTTGTTTCAGTCTATTTGCATACTTTAAAATTTGTTAGCTCAGGGCTGGCTTCCAATCAGGCTGAATCTAGTTGCTGACTGAGATCCTCCCCTTTGGGACACTGACAGGTCTTGGCAAACCGTCAACTACTGGGAGGCTCTAAAAATAAAGTAGGCTGTGTGGACCATCACATAGATTTAAGAGACAACCAAGAGCTAGGGCAGAGTTGAACAAAAAGGTTACTCTCTGACATGAGCCCACTTCTTCAAGAGCAGGAGAGGTATCTGCTTTATCTAATGCCTAGAAATCAGTACAGAGAGTCAAGGAAAATGAAGAAACAAAGGAATATATTCCAAACAAAAGAACACATTATAGGGACCCCAGAAGGGGAAGAGAGGAAAAAGGGCAGAAAAGTTAACTAAAGAAATAATGGCTTAAAATTTCCCTAATCTGGGGAAGAAAATAGACATCAGATCCAGGAACCGCAGAGATTTCCAAATAAGATGCACCCAAAGAGATTCACATCAAGACATTGAAGGATTAAAATGTCAAAAGATAAGGCAAAAAGAGAATCTTAAAATCAAAAAGAGAAAAATAACTTGTTAAGTATGAGGGAACCCTCATAAGACAACAGCAGATTTGTCAGCAGCAACTTTACAAGCCAGAAGGGAGTGATATGGTATACTCAAAGTGCTGAAAGAAAAAACTGCCAACCAAGAATACTCTACCAGACAAAGCTGTCCTTCAGAATTGAAGAAGAAATAAAGAATTTTCCAGAAAAGCAAAAGCTAAAGGAGTTCATCACCATTAGATTGACTTTATAAAAAATGTTAAAGGAACTTGTTTAAGCTGGAACAAAACGATGTTAATTAGTAGTAGGAAAACATACAAAAGTATCAATCTCCCTGGTAAAGGTAAATATACAGGAAAATTCAGAATAATTTAATGCTGTAAAAGTGGCGAGTTAATCATTTATAAAACTAGTATGAAAGTAAAAGGACAAAAGTAGTAAAAATAACTTTGTCATACTTGTTAATGGATATACAAGATAAAAATAAATAAATTGCAAAATCAAAAACAAAATACTTGGAGGGGGGAGTAAAATTATAGAGCTTTAGAATGCATTCAAATTTACCTTATAATCAACTTAAAATATATTGTTATAAATATAGGCTGTTTAATATAAGCCTCAAGGTAACCACAAAGCAAAAACCTATAGTAGATACACAAAAGATAAAGAGACAGGAATATCAGCATACCACTATAGAAAAATTATCAAGTCACAAAGGAAGAGAGCAGGAGAAGAAGAAAGGAACAAAAGAAATACCAAACAGAAAACAAGGAACAAAATGGCAATAAGTACACACCTATGAATAATTACCTTAAATGTAATGGACTAAATTCTCTAATCAAAAGCCATAGAGCAGCTGAAAAGACTGAAAAAAAACCAAGACCAATATGTATGCTGCCTAAAAGAGACTCAGTTCAGACGTAAGTACTGACTGAAAGTGAAGGAATAGGAAAAAATATTTCATGTATTGGAAACCAAAAGAAAGCTGGAGTAGTTATACTCATATCAGACAAAAGAAACTTTAAGACAAAGACTGTAATAAGAGAAAAGAAGCTTATTATATAATGATAAAAAGGTCAATCCAACAAGGGAATATATTTGTAAATATAAATATTTATGCACCCAACATAGGAGCACTTCAATATATAAAGCAAATATTAACAGAACTGAAGGCAGAAATAAACAGCAACACAATAATAGTAGGGGACTCTAATACCTCACTTTCACCAATGGATAGATTATCCAGACAGAAAATCAATAAGGAAACAATGGCCTTGAATGACATGTTAGACCAGATTGACTTAACAGACATATATAGAACATTCCATTCAAAAGCAACAGAATATACATCTGTGGAGATTAAAAAACATGCTACTGAACAAGCAATAGGTGAACAAAGAAATCAAAAGAAAAATACAAAATACCTTGAAAAATGAGATTGGTAATATAATATACCAAAATTAATGAGATGCATCAAAAACAGTTCCAGAAGGCAAGTTCATAATGAGAAACGCCTACAACAAGAAACAAGAAAGATCTCGAATAAAGAATCTAAGTTTAGGTCTCAAGGACTAGAAAACTAGAACAAACAAAACTCAAAATTAGCAGAGAGAAGGAAATAGCAAAGATAAGAGCAAAAATAAATGAAATAGAGACTAACAAGACAATAGAAAAGATCAGTGAAATTTAGAACTGGTTTTTTGAAAAGATAAACAAAACTAGCAAATCTTTAGCTAGACTCACCAAGGAAAAAAGAGAGAGGATTCAAATAAAATCAGAAATGAAAGAGGAGATGTTAAAACTGGTACCACATAAATACAAAGAATCATAAGACAATCTATGAACAATTATACAACAACAAATTAAACAACCTAGAAGAAATGGATAAATTCCTAGAAACATACAACCTACAAAGACTGAATCATGAAGAAAAAGAAATTCTGAACAGGCCGACTACTAGTAAAAAGATTGAACCAGTAATCAAAACACTCCCAACAAACAGAAGTCCAGGATGAGATGGCTTCACTGGTGAATTCTACCAAACATTCAAAGAATTAATACCAATCCTTCTCCAACCATTCCAAAAAAGGGAAGAGGAGGGAACAGTTCCTAACTCATTTTAGGAGGTCAGTATTACCCTGATACAAAAACCAGACAAGGACACCACAAGAAAAGAAAATTATTGGCCCAAATCCCTGATGAACATAGATGTAAAAATCTTCAACAAAATATTAGCAACCTGGAGGCTGGCCTAGTGGTGTAGTGGTTAAGTTAGGCACATTCTGCTTTGGTGGCCTGGGATCGTGGGTTTGAATCCCAGGTGTGGACCTATACCACTCAATAAGCCAGGCTGTGGTAGCAACCCACATAGAAAATAGAGGAAGATGGGCACAGATGTTAGCTCAGGGCCACTCTTCCTCAAGCAGAAAGAGGAAGATTGGAACAGGTGTTAGCTCAGGGCCAATCCTCCTCACCAAAAAAAAATATATATATATGTGTGTGTGTGTGTGTGTGTGTGTGTGTGTGTGTGTGTGTGTGTAAGCAATCTGAATTCAACAACACATTAAAAGGATCATACACCATGATCACTGGGATTTATTCCAGAGATGTGAGGATGGTTCGACATCCACAAATCACTTGATGTGATACACCACATTAACAAAATGAAGGATAAAAAATCACATGATCTCAATAGATGTAGAAAAGGCATTTAACAAAATTCAACATCCATTTATGTTAAAAACTCTCAACAAAGTGGATATAGAGGAGTGTATCTCAACATAATAAAGGCCATATATGACAATCCCACAGCCAATGTCATACTCTACATTGGAAAGCTAACAACTCTCCTCTAAGATCAGGAGCAAGACAAGGATGCCCACTCTCACCAGTTTCATTAAACATAATACTGGAAGTCCCAGCCAGAGCAATTAGGCAAGAAAAAGAAATAAAGGGCATCCAAATTGGAAAGGAAGAAATAATGCTCACTATTTTCAGATGCTGTGATATTATATATAAGAAACCCTAGTCACCACCA